CTCATTGCCAGTCCAGATAAGGAAACTCACCTTAGACACTTGGACTTGGCATTTGAAAGGTTAAGCCAACATGGTGTTACCATCAATATACAGAAGTGTCAGATAGGCGTTGACTCACTCGATTTTCTGGGTCACACTATTGACTGTCAGGGCATTCGCCCACTGGCTACTTCGGTCGATCACTCTAAGAAAACGCGTTCTGGACGTCACGTTAGATTCCCAGAATACCTTCACACCTATCTCACATAACTGAGTGACACATCAATTTTTTTTATGTTGCATCATTAAATACAAGTAAATGATATTTTTCCTATAACCGTACATAAAATTAAATTAGATGTATATTTTTTTTCCCGATATTTTGAACTTTACATTATTTTACTGTATAGTAGATGCATGTCATATTTTTTTGGTAAAAAAACGCTTATTTGGTACATTTTTCTTGACAAGGTTCTCAGCATTCTTGTTTTCTTTTCCAGGTGCAACGGGCACTGGACAGGAAACAAACGAAGCACGGGATCCAACGGACAACATCCAGGAAGCTATGTACAGACACCCTATTAGCATAGGAAGACAGACCAGCAGGCTCTCCATAAAGCCGCTCGGAAGATTTTTTTCACCCATCAGGGAACCATCGAGATTTTTTACTTCCGGCTGGTCACGTCTTAGGGTCCTCACAAACCCACTAGGGGGGGAGTGAGCTGTAGCGGTAAATAATTCCCCAAAATTATTAACCACAGCAATCATCACTCAACATTGGATGCTGACCATCACTGTTTAAGTCGACTTGTTTAGCTGAAGGCTTACGGTCAAGCATCCCCGCCATTTGGTGCTCCGTCGTGTCACGTGCGTGCACGATTACTAGCTAGCTAAGCATTCATTCCTACCCACGATTTGGTCCCAAAATATATATCGTATTTGGACGACAAAATCTGGTCTTTTGCTTTACCATTTGGTACTCGAAGAACGAACACTATAGTGGTTGTTGGTATAAGATCTTGCGTTAGTATAATCCGTACAACTCGCGAACCTCGATACCCGCGCAACACTAAAGTTATATGGCATTCATTATAATAAAGGCTTTTTGTATTTCCCAATGAATGAAAAACAAGGCGATATTGTTTTTACTGACGTTTCGCTGTATAATGCTGCTAATGGCTTTATCAAAGTATTGTCAAACCAGAATTTACAAAATCTCAGCTTACATATTACATGCTGAGGAACGATGATCGTGCTGTTATATATAAACTGAGATTTTGTATATTCTGGTTTACTAATACTTTGATGAAGCTATTAGCACGGCAATCCAGTGGCCAGACGATACCAAGAGTGAGCATAGTAATAATAATCTACTGTATTCCAAAAACAGTACTTATAGTACAAAATGGAATTCTCAGCATTTGTCACAATACAATATCCAATATCGTTTTTATGAGCTACTTGAAACCAATTTGATTTCCTTGCGCTCGCCTCTTGATTGTGAGGTATAGGTTCCTGATCTTCGGTAAACTTCTGTGCAGCTCGTCCCACCACTCGACTGTCGTAGCTTTGGTTGACTCCTTTTGGAGTCAAAATATAAATTGACGGGGATTTTTCCACATTTGTTGTATAAAGTCAAATATATTCTAAGTACGAACTGAGAATATTAAATATAATAATAATAGTAACAGTGAGTTTGTTTCAAACAGTATTGTCGATTCAGTTTGAAAATTTTAGCATGTTATAGATTATTGGATCTAATGTTCTGTTGATATAGTGTGGTGAGGGAAATACAAAATTAACAGTTACAACACAGCTTAAATGATGTTCACACTTATGAAAAAATAAACAAATAAAAACAACAAATTGCGAGGATTATAAATCCAAGAAGAGGAACAACAATAAAGGTTGCTGTTGTAAGGGTGGAGAAAATGGTTCATTTAGTACTGCAAAGAAGGTTAGTTAGTTCATGCCTAACACTATTTTCATCACATGAAGTATGTGCCAAGTATGGTATCGTGGAATTTTATACTTAGACATACGTGCATAAAGTCTTTTGAAATGACTTCTTGCCCTACCTGAGAAGGCGACACAAGGTTGGAGCTGCGGGTAAAGTGGAAGCTCACAGTCTGACAAAATTCCTTTGGCAAATTTGTTGCATGAAATCAAGTGCCTATCAATGGCGATGTCAACGATATGGCCCAGTGGGTGTCACTCGCTATACTGACAGTCTTCAGAGTTCTACGAGGTATGGCATAGTCTTTTATAAGCAATCTAGGAAAGAATAAGGGTGAACAGCAAGGAAGAATAGGTAAGATGCACGAGTTGACAAACTTCAAGACGAGGGGTTGTTGAATTCACTTTCTGTCGGTTTTTTCAAGGGGAAGTCGACGTATTTTGGATGTCATGGTTGTCCTGAGATTGTGATATTATGCATAACATTGGTGGCTATATGCTGCAAATCATTCGAGGGGCGATTAAGTTTGTAGTGACCCATTTTATTACTCATCATCGTAGTATACTTTCACTATGTAATTGGACTTTGATTTGTTTATCACTCTTAAGATTGTGTGTTAACAATTGATACATTGTACTTGCACAACTTTAGAATTTTGACTAATGCGATGATATACTTTTATACTCCTCTCAAGTTCCTTTTGATTCACGTTGTGGATGTCAAGTAATCAAAACGTTAGGACACAATAATAGACGCGAAGAAATACTAGGATATACGTGTACGCTATCCACAACAAGATCTGGATACTTTTCAACAATCAAATGAGAAGTTTTATCAGCTGTGATGAGCTGTAACCTATGTAGGTGGTGCCTTTAATAGATGGTTAGTGCTACTATCTATCAATCGTTTTCGGTGGACACCTAATGGTAGGTCATGGTGCTTAAGTCAATCAGTGCCTATGACAGGCATCGTAATTTCATAAAGAAGTAAAATCCGCTGAGTAGGTTTGCATGAACCCTGTTCAGAAGCACGTTTTCAATACCAAAGGTCACAACAGGTCTTTCGTTCCCAGCCATTAAGTTAAAGGTAGTTTTCTTCTGTCTATCTGGCCCTCTGGCAGGGAGAACTGTGACTCAGGCACCTGTGTCAACCAATTACCGGTTGTTTTTGACTATATCTCTCATGTGAAGTAGGTGGATACTGCCACCAGATACTGCCACTAGCCCGTGCCAACGGGATAGATTCCATAGTCTTAGGGTCATTACTGAAACTCCAGGATTTGTGGTGATACTTTGCCTCCTGACCATAAGTAATGTGATACCAACAGCACTCAGGGCTTTTAGGTGAATGTAGGTTGGATTTTGATCGACCACCTGTGTTTCTACGTTAAGGGGAAAATACGAGGGCCGTTCAACCTACGTAGTCGCTTAACAGAGTTGCACAGTACTGTTACTCCACTGTTACTTATCGAAGACTGTTTAGTGATCGAACACATTTCCATGACTGGCTGTAGTGAACTTTCTAGGATTTTATCAGCAGAAGCGGCTAAATCGTCGATTACGACACTTCGAAGTGTCACGTGTACAGTCTGTACTGGCCTTGGTAACTTAGACAGGGACAGCTTCCCAAAGAGTCCCTGATCGAAGAGACGATGGCAGATGGTTTTCCGCATCCGCGCCAGCATATATCTGGCAAAATGGTAGCCTAGCTCGACACTGCAGAAGAGTCCGGATATTACTGATCCGAGATCGTCTCTCTTAAGGGTTGCCAACCTCTGGGCTGAACATTTGTGTGGTGAAGCGTATACTTAATCCTCGCGGTAGAACGTGAACAACTTCAAGGAACTGTAGACGTCGGTCAGTGATCCCACTTTCACCAAAGTCAGCCTTGGGCAACTGATAGGACCCGTCATAAAATAGAATATAATTCTTTCTCAATAACCTTCACATTTATATTGTGATAGAGTTACTACGTGATCAATTCATCGCATCTTGTCCCACCTCAGTCTTTGTCGGATCTCCAACAAATGAGAATAGCCATTGCCAGCCAATAAGAACATTCCATTCTTGCAGCTGTCAGCCGACTTTATTTTGGTAGTGAAAATGCATAAGTATCAAGTTTCGTTCCCTATATTCAATATCTTACAGTTGCAGGCCGGCCTTTGTCTTCTAATATTTGCGTAGCTCAGTTTATCGGAAGGTACTATGGAAAAATAGACCTACTAGCGTAGCAGTTGAGTTCACTACCGTTTTGGCGCAGCATAACAAAGTAGCAAGGGATTTATTCAGTTCATTTCAGTTATAACACCAAAAGAAATCATACTTTTGCATTGCCTGGCCATAACGTCATGGACTAAACAGAGGTGCTAGCTGGTCGGATGCAGATGAGCTTAGGTTGGTTTTTTAGTTATTGTAAAGAAGTATTTAGAAAAATGTTTAGTGAAATGGGAGGAACTCATTGGATTCGACTACGCATATACCAAGGAAGATGGGACTCACCGTAGGGTCCACCAGTTAAGGTGATGAGGGTGTGCTGATGTTCTCGACTTGTACTAATGCAGGGTCTTATACACACAACTCCTGTAGTAATTGTTCCACGCACACCAAAGTCATATCAAAACACCAATGCGAGGATGCTTCCTTAACTAGCTAGGGATCGTTCATGAAGGAAAGAGGCCTGCATAACTGTACAGAAGCATGGCCACAAGTCTGAAAATGAGTAAGCCGAATTAAACAGTGAAGTTCAGCATCTAATTTTTCTGATGAATGATGCAGGGGAATTATTTAGCACTACCCAGGACATGAAAACTAAAAGAGACACCTTTCCACTTAAGAATCAGACAGGGTTGCCAGCACTTGCATCTGCTATATTTTCCTCCTTCGTTTCTGCGGAGCTGAAAAGTCTTAGGCGACATTTTCATATAAGAAGTATTTCCCTTGGCAGTATTGGTTTTAAATCACTTATGGAGTGCTGTAAAAAGAATTGGAATAACACAGATACTTATTAGAGATAGAATAACACGTGCCAGCAGCCTTTTGTACTCATCAGTAAATGTGTTGGCATTGGACATTGAACGCGGCAACACAAATGTCGCGTAACTTTCATTACTTGGAAGGTGAGTCTTAATTTATTTTTTTGTCGCATTGTCTTGTTATTCATAACTTTTCTTTCTTTGTGTTAATTCTTACTTAGCGAAACTTTTTCACATTTGGCTCTCTCTAGCAATTGATAAGAGAAGTAAAAAGTCCTCTTGAAGTACGCGAACTGTCTCGCCTAGATTTCTTTTGTATTTGTAAGTTCCTTAAGCTATAAAATGAGTCTGAATCTGAATCCCTAGAAGTGAGGTAAGGTCTAGAATCATTCGGAAAGTGTAGGAAGCAATTAATTACTTAAGTGCCAAATTTTCATAATGTCTGTACAAACTGCTCAGAAGATAACATTACGGTGGCACTTTGCCTTCGTATTAATTACAAACTTTTCTCAAGACAAGGTGAATTTACTTGATTCGATAGGGTTTTCACCATCTTCATGTAACTTTAATTATCAGTGATGTAGTTTTCTTTAAGTAACATTAGTCGAAAGCCAGTTGTTTTTGGAAGCGAAGAATAAAATAAAAACATACAGGGATTTAGAATAGGAGATTTGGGATCAAATTAATGGTATATGCCTTCCTTATGTTGTGGAGTGAAGAGTATGTTCGTTCTTCGAATACACGTGCTCTTCCCTCTCTAACCGGAAAATATATATTTCGCGAATTATCCGCATGGGAGACTTGATCATCCTGGCCGACGGTTCTAATTCAACCATTACTTTCACTTTGAATATTTGTGCGGTAAGTTTATTTGTCTCGAACTACTACCAAACTTCTGGTGCTACTTTTGTAACAGCGTCTTCCTCACTCGATCAGATACACAAGACTTGTTGGCCTGCTACGAGATTCTTGTGAAAACGATTTACTTGAAAGTTCTCGGTAAAGTCGAAAACCTTTCTCTTACCCCTTACCCCTCTTTTTGTTCTTATTCTATTGAGCAGACACTTGCTATTTCTCATATTATTTTATCATAATTAGTAATAATTGGTTATATGACAGCCGAATTCAGCCTTAAGAACAACATTGTTACACAGTATTCTTTAGTAACCAGGGCTTCAGCTAGGAGGAGGAAATAATCTGGTGGAATTAACGGTATCTCGCACACCGGTTCTTAAGAACTGAGCACATCCCGTAATGTGATAATATGCCCACGTCGTCACAGTTCAGTATTGAAACTGAACAGGTGGAACCAAGTGGGCACAGTACCGCACTCGTCTTTAAAAGAAGTCGATGTGTCACACATGGCAAGATTAAAAAGAAACGCTCAAGATGTCATAAGACCTTGAAAGCATTCTCTGGGAAAGGAGATGACTTCTAAGTCTGTAGTTCTGTTGTTTACAAAGGAGACTCGGCATTCAAATGAAACTTTTGCGTTTGCATTGTGACAATGTAGTGCTGAGACCATATTATGGGCTTGTAAGATACTGGTACTGCTGTCAGTCAGCTCCATTTAACGTAGTTTATTTACGTACCCAATAATTCAGTACTTAACCCAATCTGTTAGTACTGATGACAAAACAATTTAAAAAGACTTGGTTAATAAGGAAATGTTATCTAATGCGCAGTATATTTGAGTAAAAATAAGTTGAAGAATTTCAAATTAAAAAAGATCTAAAACTTATCTAACGGAAATGGCTATATTACATACTCACGGAATGTGCGTATTGACAACACAAAACGGCGTTAAAGCCAGTCCATAAATATACACATTAAAACAAGCGTGTGCGAGATAAGCCATGCCTATGCTTCTGATACCTTCACAAAGTCAGGCGGGTATTGGTGGACCACAGCTTTCACGGATGTAGGACTACCTAAACAAAAGAGAATTCCACATCAAGATCAATCGTGTCCTATCATCCTGAAGCAGTTCAGCATCAGGGGTATCACAGGGTTCAGTTGTGGGGCCACTGATTTTTTTGTTTTGATTTTTACAAATGATCTACCATGTTATCTAAACTGCCCGGCTCTCTTTTATACTGATGATGTAAAGATTTGGATATCAATAGTGTGTTCGAAAGATCCAGATAGGCTGCAGGCAGACCTAAAAATTCTGGAAGACTGGGCACTGGTCAGTGGTATGACTTTCAACCTAATTGCTAAAGAACACCAGGCCAGCACATAAAACTCTTTCCAGGGTATGAGTACACGAAGCAATTTACTCTCTATTCCAAAATGACTTAGCTTGAATGGAAGCGGAGCGTGTCAACAAAATCAGTTCATGCACGGTAACAGTTTCATGTTTGTTAAAAGCATTTAAGGAGCGTTCATCACTTCATATTATTTTCAGTAGCAGATGTTACAGTTGATATAATTTTTACTATTAAACAGTCACTCTAGACTGGTTTGTCATTACTGTTTGATCTTGTAGTGGAACCATTTAAGCATCATTTTACTACGTATTTGAGTAGTAAATTGACGACGTATTCATTTTTCATCTGTTTTTTATACCCTTCTCAAATTTCTTTGCTGCATATATATATATATATATGAAGTGTTCAGGTGTAGACTTATACATTTCGTTTTGTTTTTCAGAAAAATATTTTTGTTGAAGTAATCTACATAACAAAACAACAGTTCAGTTGTTATGACCAATCTAACTGAAGGTCCACTAAATATTGATGTACTGAAAGAAAGCTATCATAATGAATTTTTCAGTTATATCGATGTATATGCTTCACCTAAGGTATATCATTTTTTCCTTAAAAATTTCACTTATTACTACATTATCCTTTAAGTGTATATATTGGGAGAAAGATCTTCTAGCTCATGTGAGTTCCGTCGTTAACAACTCCGATTTGAAGGTAATATCAGTATTTAAATTAACCTCCTCCCCCCACAAAAAATCTATATTTAGAAGCACGGTGTTGTTAATTCTTTCCTTCTAACATCTATCAAAGATACCTGCTCTCCATCAACATGTAAATCTGTGATATTTATTATCAGTCCAAAAGTCAGCGTTGTTGATTGTGTACAATCATTTGTTGTGAGGTATGCTCTATTCCCCTCTTCTTCTTATTATTATTATCATTATTATTCCTTCTATCTAAAATTTTACATCTAAATTTTTAGAGATTCACAGTTGAATCAAAACACTGGAAAACAATATGGTATAATAGCCATACCAAGATTTTCATTTGCTTGTAAAAATTTTCTAAAAGTCAAAAAGTTAATTAATAAATTCACGCATATATCTGAATTTCCTTTAACAATTGTACCTGTGGATTGTGATGTTCTATCCATGGAGGATTCAAGTTGTTTTGCTGTTAGTGCACATTAATCTTTATACATATATATATTTTTTAAACAATGTTAATTCTAGAATTATTCAATTTCTGAAAAGCATGATAGTATTTATCAATTTGTACAAGGATTAATGAGATTTCAGTCTATTTTTGGTCTATTCCCGAAAATATTTGCTAAAGGCGAAAAAGCTGTGGTAAGTACTTCTTGTTTTTTAAGAATTTTTGTGTCAGAGGATTTATTTGTCTGCTTCATTCAAGACTTTTTGCTCACGTTTGAAATGTGTTGTGAAAGATAAGTAGAAAATTAAAACAAGTGATTCAGCCTAAGAGACTCTTTTCAATGAATTTATTATCATGCTGTACAGTCATATATAATATATGACTTTTAAGCAATTATATCCGGTGAGAGAATTGAATCACAGGTGTAAATACATAAAATAATACTAATAGTAGTATGAAGTGAAATTAAAATGTTTGTGATGGTAAACATGGTCAAATGTCACATGGCATAATAATTGATGTTATATATAACTTCCGTAACCAAGAAAATTCTGTACATGAGGTTGGAATTCAAAGGTGACTTTGTTGCCGACATCAATAAAAGAAGGATCTCATAGTCCGTGGAAAGAAAATTACCTGCTACATCATTGAGAATAGTGTTTTCTAGTCTACCGTCACTGAAGGACAATATCCCGCAGGTGACCAACTCTATGTGCGTTTACCGATTCACCTGCTCGTGTGGAGCTAGGTATAACTGTCGTTCGACTCGAGTTTTGCCCAATAGGCTGCGTAGTTACGAAGAGGTGGAAGTGGAGCTATAAGAAGTGCAATCATTGAACATCTGGTTGATAATAATCACCCTATCTCAACAGCCTCAGCCTTTAAATTCATCTACAAGGCGAGAAGTTATCTACGTAAATCGTTACGTATCCGACTCATTTGTATTGCTGAAGCTTTGGCCATCGAAATGGAAAAGCCAGATGTCTGTATTCAGAGAAGATTTGCTCAACCCCTTAATCCCTCTACGCTAAAGTATGGTAATCTCCATTCATATTTTGGCTCAACTTATCTTTCGTTTTGTTTATTCAATTTGTATACTCACCCTGTATTAAGTCGATTGTTACTATTATTATTTTACGAGTTGATCACGGACTGATATCAGCTAGAGAACCATTGAAAACCAAGGAGTACTGGACAGCTGCTGTTTCGTCCTAGTTTGGGAATCATCGGCAGTGCTGACCCAAACTAGGATGATACAGCAGCTGTCCAGTACTCCCCGGTTTTCAATGGTTCTCTAACTGATATCAATCCGTGATCAACTCGTAAAAACATAACTAACACTTACAAACCAAACTATAGAAAATTAATCTGATGCTCGCTAGTGACTTGCTACAGGTTGGAGCTTCCTGCAGTTCTAGTGAGAAGTCGTGACCAGTGAGGTCCAATTAGAAGTCACGAGTGGATGGATTTCCACCAACGACAATAGTTGGGGTGACGCTAAAATCACGAATTGGTAGAAGTTAGAATTCATGAGCCATTGAATCGGGTCCCAGTGGCTGAATGGTATACGAGCTTGCCTTGTAACCGGAAGGTCCTGGGTTCGAATCCCAGTGGGTGCGTACTGCCGATGATTCCCAAACTAGGATGAAACAGCAGCTGTCCAGTACTCCTTGGTTTTCAATGGTTCTCTAGCTGATATCAGTCCGTGATCAACTCGTAAAACATAACTAATCCTTACAAACCAAACTATAGATAATTATTCTGATACTCGCTAGTGACTTGCTACAGGTTGGAGCTTCCTGCAGTTCTAGTGAGAAGTCGTGACCAGTGAGGTCCAATTAGAAGTCACGAGTGGATGGATTTCCACCAACGACAATAGTTGGGGTGGCGCTAAAATCACGAATTGGTAGAAGTTAGAATTCATGAGCCATTGAATCGGGTCCCAGTGGCTGAATGGTATACGAGCTTGCCTTGTAACCGGAAGGTCCTGGGTTCGAATCCCAGTGGGTGCGTACTGCCGATGATTCTCAAACTAGGATGAAACAGCAGCTGTCCAGTACTCCTTGGTTTTCAATGGTTCTCTAGCTGATATCAGTCCGTGATCAACTCGTAAAACATAACTAATCCTTACAAATCAAACTATAGATAACTATTATTATTATTATTATTCTCACTTTGAATTGTCCACGGGGACTATTTCACTCGTTCCACTTGTGATTCTAAATCAGTTCTGTTTTGCAACGTTTAATTCTATCTTATCAGATTTTACACAGTGCTACGTAACATTTTTTGTTTTTATTCTATTTGCCTACTGATTCTATAAGTGTACACCCTCTTCCAACATCTATTAGTCCTATGATTAGTCCTATAAGTGACATTAATTGATTTGCCACTTGATATTTAACTATGATTATAATCACAAACATTTTGACTTTACTGCATTTCATACTACTATTATTATTTTTTGCATTTCACACCTCTGATTCAATTCCCTTACCGGATATTATTTCTTAAGAACAATATGTATTATATACGATTGTGCAGCTTGATAATAAATTAATTGAAGAGATTCTCTTAGGCTGAATCACTTGTTTTGGTTTTCTGTATGTCCCAACGGGAACTTCCATCGAAATAAGCGACATGTATTTTGTTAGGTTTATTGATACAACTATCTATCCGAATTTTTTTCTCTATTGCTTTACGTTCCAAGTGGAATATACGTCTTCAGCCTAGACTTTTGAACTTTTAGTAGCAGCGATTTTTACATGTCTTATTTTTTACTGGGTAGGATTGTTCAACCTTTCAGCTTTACTGGCCTAGTGAGGTTTAGGAGTGCGTCGATGGAATGTCGATTCCCGAACCACGTGGGTGGTTGGCTACCGTCGAACCATCGGCGCACATCTATCCGGATATGGGGTTTGAACCCCGTAGCTGACATGACTTAATGTTTGGAAAGAGTTAGCGGTAATCTAACCGAAATCTGTCATCGATACATGAAGTATTTGACAGATAGTCTGTGCTTTCTGTTGTTTACTCCTAGATATACAGTGTTAGTCTGCCATTATCGATGCCTATCTTAAAGCTCATCACACTGTGTGTTTCATCGTTATTCTACTCTAAATAATGTGATCCTGTCGTATTTATTCTTTTCTTTATACTAATCGTGAATTACAATTGATTCCGCTAACTTTGTAAAAATTCGGGCATCAGATTAGTTCGCTTGATTGATACAAATGAATCTTAATTCCGTTTGAAGTTATTTACCTTTATAAAGAGTTGACACGCTAACATTTTGGTTTCACTAGTGGATCCTTTTGTTCATAGCTTTCATCCTCTATGAAATCAATGTACGGGGACTAGATTCAATATTCCACCCTTCAGTGAGTGTTCTTTGGTGTTCTCCGATCTGAAAAGTTGAATTTCCGACGTTTTATTGTCTTTCTGGGCAACATATTCACTGCTTACTTAGAATATAAAGTGAGCTTCTAGAATTCTGCATGTGTAATACTGTGGTGAGAGCTGGCTGCCAGCCGAAATCGCAGGCAGCAATTTACTCCCAAATTGGGGTCATGAGAAAAACAATAACAAGGCTTAACCTTGAGGAACTCACCAACCAATCACAGCAAACTTAACGTGTGCAAATAGGATTCGCAGATATATGGCTTGACCTTTTGAGAGACAGTCATAAGCAGTACAGAATAACCTTCAGCAAGAAAACAATCAATCAAAAGACGTTGCTTTTTCGCTGATAATACTGTACATAAAAAAATCTATAAACATCTCCTGATTTTCGCAATAAACGATCTGTTGCCTGGCGCTTATCTTCTGTTGTTACAACACTTGTTTCTCCTGATGTTACCATTAATGTGGTCAGTTGTCTCTGCAGAATATCTTGCCTTATTGTATTCGCTTTTATGGTTATTGATTATATTGTTGAGTGGATGTTTAGCCTTATTACCTCCATCTTTTCTAAATCTCACTGACGGAATGAGCTTCTTTCCGTTTTAAAAGTTTTTTTTTGGATTTAACCTAAAGAGACAGGTAGTCATGATATCTGGCTGTTGATCAAAACATGTGTGTTCCGTGCAGCAGCTCGCTCCGTCCATACTTTCTGCTGTTTAAAGTGGGAGACATAAAGAGGCTAGCTGTCGTTTATTACAGGTATTTGTGTTCTGTCTCCCATATTAAGCGGTATAATGCAGTAAGTAATAGTCAGGGGAAGTAAATAGGCGAGGTTCTGAAGCTGCATCGATTGATGTAGTTACGCTGAATCACCTACCGCCTTCCCTTATGACCAGTGATAGCTAATATAAGATTATGTTGGAAAAGAGTTAGCGCTAGATGTATCAAAATATGCGTCATTTTTTGAAGTATTTAACACTTGGCTTGAGCCATATTTGGCTTATGCTAACTTGCTGCATTTCTGGTGTAGATGTCATATTCGGCTGACTTTCGACCAAAGAACGTGTGTACTGCTCAGTTGTTCGCTTGGTCCTCCTATATAGCTGGCTGTGAGACATAAAAAAAAACATGAAAAGCTTGGGTAGGCTACGGTCGAGTGCAACGTAATGAAGGGAAATCAATCGACGAGGTTGTCAAGTCACATCGATTGAGATGGTTAGGACATGTATCATACATGATGAATAACTATCGCCTTCCTCAACAACGGGCAATGTTAGCCTCTGACATAGGGTAGATGGATGGATCAGGTTGGAAAAGAGGTAACATGAGATGGTCAAACCAAAACATCGCTTCATCAGTCATTCAAATCCATAACAGTTAGTTTAAGCCAGCCTTGTTGGGAGCTGTAGACTGGTTGGCTATTTGGTTGGGGTAATCGGGATGGTAAGAACCAATGAAGGCTGAAGACAATTCGTGATATGGCTGAAAATACTTCTCAATGGCTGGTGCAGATCCACTCACTCTTTGTAATTTAATAATATCCAATAGAACTCTATTGTTCTTCCATATAACTATTGTTTTTGCCTCACACTTGTGTTTATTATCTCTCTTTTGAACCTCCCACTACTCGCTTTTCTTGTTTTGTGTGCTACATGGAAGGAGTGTGACAACTCGGACTGCTGCACGTCAGTGCAAAGTTCTATGTGGAAACCAGTCAGTTGATCATTCAGTCATGCATGCTTGCATTCATTCTTTATTTGGTTATCGCGCGGAATATGTTTTTTTTTCGCTTTTTGGAGTGTATTATAATAAAAACAAAGACTTTAATAGAGATTGTCTACTTGTTTTTTTCATAAACACGAACTATTTTTAAAAAAACATTGTGAATTAATAATCTCTTGCATTTTGCTCATATAGCAAGTGACCAAAATGCTAAGACGTATGCTTGATGAAAGCAAAGCTTCTGAAAAGAGTCAATCACAGTGTACAGCATTAGACGAAATTGAAAGTCAGACTGACTTGCTGATACTCATTGATCGCAGTGTTGATCCGCTTACTCCACTGTTAAATCAATTAACCTATGCTGGATTAGTAGATGAAAAGTGGGGAATTCGATTCGGTGAGTAGTTGTAAATTTTTCCTATTTAGAAATTAATTCAACTTTAAAATTTCAAAAGTTTACCTGTTGTTGTTGTTGTTTTTTGGTGACAATGTAACCAATTGTTTTACGACATGATATAACCTCGGGATGCAAGCCAGTTAGTTATGCGTACACTTAGGAATCGACTTGTTACCAGGGAATAGTCTTATGCACTTAGAATATGCAGATGACATAGTCCTGTTAGGGGAGGATGCTGACAAAATGCAGAGCCTTCTGAACACCTTGAGCAGCAATCTTCGTATGTTTGGCATGCGATAAGCCCATGTAAAATGTAAGATGCTGTTACAGGACTGGACTACGCCAAATCCTAGCTTAGTGATAGGGAGTGAAGTGATAGAACATGTTGACCACTTCACCTATTTGGGAAGTTGTATCAGCACCAACGGATTGATTGGTGACGAAATCTCAGCACGGATCCAAAAAGCTCGGGCTGCTTTCGCTAACTTACACCATCTCTGGCGTAGGCGTGACATCCGGCTGTCAACCAAGGGACATGTGTACTGCTCAGCAGTTCGCTCCGTCCTTCTCTATGGCTCTAAAACATGGCCAACCGAGTTGAAGATATGGAAAGGTTGACTGTTTTGATCATAGATGTCTACGATCTCTTTCTCACGTTAGGTGGTATAATAAGGTAAGTAATGTTGACGTTAGGCGTAGAGTATTGGGCAAAGAGGGAAAATCAATCGAAGAGGCTATAAAGTTACATAGATTGAGATGACTAGGCCACGTGCTGCGCATGCCTAACCATCGCCTCTCCCCACCCAACGGGCATTACTAGCTGATATAGGTGCAGGTTTGAAAAGAGTAAGTGGTGGCCAAACAAAAACATGGCATCAGTCCATGAAATCCCTGACAGTTAAACTGGGTCAGGTAGGGAGATGCAGACTTCCGGGTTGGGGCCCGCCCTTGGGACTCTAAGAATCAATGGCTGGAGACAATAGGTGACATGGCTCAAAATCGTTGTCAATGGCTTACGCAGATGTATTCAGTCTCTGTAATCTTTCATATTCCTTGCTACCATTACTCATTCTGTTTCACTCTTATGCTTGTCAAAACTCTATTGATTCTCTTCACTCATCTTCTTGTTTACCTTTGTGTGGTATTTGGAACGTGGCAACTGGAACTGCTGCACTTGGGTGCCAAGTTCTATGTTGAATCCAGACAGACTGTAGAAGCAAAAAGTATTCTTTTCAGGGCGTTATTTATTCTTTTCCTTAGGATACCAGCGAAAAGGTCGCTTTTCAACGCCACATTCATGTGAAGTATCTTCTTCAGCACAGAGGTGGAAGTATTCTTTGTTGGTTTGTTCTTATCTATAAAGAGGAATGGTGAGGAGGGTAGCCATTTGTGAAAATGTACTGTCTTCCTTAAAAGAGTGATTTCTTCATCTACTGACTCAGGGTTGCAGATCCTTCGAATCTTAGTTGCTAGAGATGTTATCATGTTCCGCTTGCAGCTAACTCAACTGTAAAAGTTTGTCAGCTGACTGTTCCATGTAAGCTTTCTATAAACTGATTTGTTCAATGTCCCATGAGTCTTCTTTCGTAGTTAATAGGATGTCTAGAAAGGAGATTGTCTATCCAGTTTCTATACTTCAATTATAAATTTGATGGTTGGATAGCAGCTACTAAAAACTTGTAAGAGGCTATTTCTGTAATATTTAATATCACAAATGATAAAAGTGTCATCAACGTACACGTACAGAAAATAAAACCTGTTGACGGTCGATTTCAATTGATCATTTTCCAAAGTTGCTATGAAAATATCTGAAAGTACCCTACCTAAAGGTGATCTCATAGCCACGCCATCTTTTTGTGTGCAAGTAATACCATTGAATGTGAATTAGACGTTTAAAGGGCATCTGAGTAAAAGTGTTTTTCCATTGGACACTAGTAACTAGTGTGATGTGTCTAGTTCTAACTTTGATGTAGACTGGAATCTATGAGTCAGGTTTGCAATGTGGCCGCCATTCTAGGTAGCTCACCATCATGGTGCACTTTGCATTGTTGATGTTAGATGGTTGGAGGCAATCGGCCATAGGAAGTCCTGGACCTAGGTTTCGTGCTAGTTGGCACTCATCAGCAAGGTGTATCTACAACCTTGATAGAATTCAGTCTGCACCAAAAAAGGACTAAACAAATCAATAAAAGTACCCAATGCAGTCTTACAGGAGGTCAATCGCAAACTCGAATAGCTCAGTGGTAACGTCTCCATCTGACTGCATCACTCACTGGATGATGCGGGGTCGAATCTCAGAAGGGATATGAGTTCCTTCTAGGCTGCAGATACGCCCTGCTGACGAGTGCTAATTAGCACGAAATCTGGGTCGAAGGCTTCCTGCCGATTGTCTCCAACTATTTAACTTCAATAAGTGTGGTTTTTTTAACGTAGAATTTGATATTCCAATATTCAAGTTGTTGTGTTTTAATTATGTGCATAAGGAAGAAACCATCTCTGTAATCGAAACATTCTTTGCTTCTACATTAAGATTAGTGTTCTACTGCTACACAATGTTCTCCAGTAACTCTGAAGGTGAACTATCGCATTCGACCGCTTCTCCGTATCTATCGATTCATTTGCTCCTATGGAGACAGATATGTATAGGTCGTTCAATGAGTGTTTTATCTAAAAGATTCAAGAAGCACTATCCCACTTGTTTACAGGAAAGATCCTAATAGATGAATAAGAAGGACAGATATTTGAACACTATCCATTCAGTGTATAAGAAACATTGATTCGCAGTTCTTTAGGCAGCTCAAAGAATGCCTCTCGAAAGCGAGTATGCTTCGGTATACTTTAGATTGCTGCCGTCTTAGCGCTTCAGATGGACTACCGTGATAATATAAATGTTAAAGAGAAGATAAGAGTTGATATCAATCATGTAGGTAAAATGTGTGTCAATGAAATCTCCAATTGAATGAGATCGCTTCTCAAGATTTGCTACGTGTTTGTCTAGTTATATAATAAGACACTCGGATCACACATCACAATTTAAATGAAGCCTCCTACTTTTTCTATTTATTATATTCAAAATGAATATTGGTCATGTATTTCAATTGTTTTTTGAATTTGTAAGGCAGTGGAACACCCTAGCCCCATGGTAGTTGTAGAAGAGAACAAAGGAGATATATATATATGCGTTATTCTTTAACACACGATTGCATACGAATGCGTATTATGTGAATATTTTTGCTTAAAATCTCCGCTGGTTACTTCTTCAAATCTTTTTTAATAGTGTTTATTCTTTTTTTTAAAAATTCCTTTACGTTCCCAGTGGAACATAGAGCTTCAAGCTAGAGGTTTGAATTTTTGGTAGCAGTGTTTACTTTTACGGAGTGAGGTTACTGGCCTCATGCCCAACCTTCCCTCTTTACTGGTCTTATTACCGGCTTAACGAGGTAAATGAGTGCGCGTCGGCTGGGGACTGAACCCCAGACCACATTTGGCGTGGTCGGCCAGCATTCTACTGTTAAGCCACCGACACACCGTTTATTCGTTAGGTATCCATATTATGAGGAATATTCTAATCTGGCAGGTTGACTTTGAGTCAACAAATCATGAATTTGAAGGCTACTCAGCCCACCATGGAGGTTTCACCCCTCTCTCTCTTACACACACTCAAAAGTTGTAGCTTATTTACCATCTACATGTAACTGGAGCTGCCTGTTGATTGACTAGCGTTTCCACCCTCCCCGTTTTCTTCCCCTAATTAATATCTAAGATTGCTCTCACATCGGCAACCAATGACCTTCATATATATTACCAATATGACCAACTTTCGACCAGTAGTTAAGCTACAAAATATCTGCTTACCAATAAGAAGAAAGTTTTGGTCAAATTGTTAATGTAAACGCCTGATGTGTTACCCTACTCTACTGTCCATCTGATCAAAAATCATTTTTTTTAAATAAAAATTTTTATTATTTCCACAGGTATTTGTAAGCCGTGTTTCTCATCAGAAAATGAAACATCAAGAAAGGTTATGCTCAATTCAACAGATATGGTATATGCAGAAATACGAGATCAAAATTTCTCTAAAGTAGGACTTACTTTATCACAACTTACAAAAGAAATTTCTGCACTTGTCGCAGTAAGTGTTGTTGCCTAATATATATACTTACAGTTTGTCTTCTTTCGTTGTTTTTTTCGTTTTGTTTGTTTTTGGAAGTCGTTTATACTTAATCGTTGAAGAGATTAATTTGTCTCATATGAATAAAGTTGAGATGTGGCTTATCGGCTTTAATACTCGACGTTTAGACTAGATAAGCCCCGCGTTCATATCATGTTCCCTCGCATCCCTTATTTCAACGTGGACAACTAGATAGTATCACAAGCCTTCATATTATAAGTATGTCTCATAGCTTGGTAACTGACTGACTGACTGGTTTCAACATAGAACTTTGCACAGATGTGGAGCAGTTCGAACTGCCACTCTCCCTCCATGTAGCACACAAAACAAGAGAAGAGAGTAAAGAGAGATTCAAAATATAGAGACATAAATAATAAACAGAAGTGTGAGGCAAAAAGAATAGTTATATGGAAGAACATTAGAATTTTATTGGATGTAATAAATTACAAAGAGTGAGTGCATCCGCACCAGCCATTGAGAAGGATTTTGAGCCATGTGACAAATTGTCTTCAGCCTTCATTGGTTCTTACTATCCCGATTACCCCAACCAAACAGTCAGCCAGTCTAAAGCTCCCAACGAGGCTGGCTGAGTGGCTGGCTTAAACTAAGTGTTATGGATTTGATTGATTGATGAAGCGATGTTTTGGTTTGACCATCTCGTGTTAGCTCTTTTCCAACCTGATCCATCCATCTATACTATGTCAGCGGTTAACATTTCCCGTTGTCGAGGAAGGCTTGGTACATGAACAAAAAGTTTCTTGAAGTACACAGTGGTTCAGTAGTTAATGAGCTCGCCTTGTAAAATCTAAAGATCATGGTTGCTCGATCCAACGCGGGTGATGAGGTTATGGGTGTGCACTGTTAGAGAATACTAAAGTCGACAGAAACAGCTGTACAAGAAAAAAAAGCTTGTTTCAAGTGAATAGATCTGCACCATCGAGAACAGTTTGGAGTCATTCACCATTTCGAGGGATTTTTAATGCAAGTGTCAAGCACCTCACGGACTGATGCCATGTTTTTATTTTAGTCTTCCATTAAGTCTTTTCCTACTTAGTCCCATGTCAGCTATTATTGCTCAAAGCTTTCCCAAACTTGAGGACATAAATGCGGCTAGTCAATACTTCTTGGTTTTTATCAAATCACCAAATCATCATTTGCACAGATCTTTCGTGGTGTTGTGCTACTTCTGCTCTTCCTTCGTATTGTGTTTCTTCTTCATCTTTTTGCGTCTCTCATGTTTCGCTGCAATCCTAAGTCATTTCCTCTCTTTGACATCAAATCTCTCTCTCTCTCCGCTATGTGGTATTTTTATGCCTATGAACGTCTCTTTATATACTACTGATAAGTCGTATCAGTAGCACACGTCACATATATATTTTGTATACATATACGTAGTCATTGTTTGTCTATTAAAGTTGAAAAGACTCTTCAGCGGTTAGAATAGATTTGAACGTTTTACTTGTATATTTTTCTCAATAGACATTTTCTGTATGGAACATACGGTTTTAGGTTTATGCTTTATAAAGTTTCAGTAGGCATGGTATTTCTTCTTTCACAGGGTAGAGTGTAAGTTGCTAGCCTGACGCTCAACAGTGCTCCCTTCTCGCCTGGTTTACTAACGGCTAAACGCGGTTTCTCAGGGGTAGTGGTTGGCGGCGAACATTCTACCAATGAATCACTGACGCCTACAATTAAAACCGAATTAAATGAAAGAAAATTTTTATTGGAACTCACTCATTTCCCCTGAACAAGATAATTGATCTGTCAGGGTATGAGCCATGCGTTACCTGTATGACAGGGTTGACAGCATCACTCAATAGTCGTCACCCCAACTGGAGCAGATGAAGTGGAATTCGAACTTATTGACCCGTCGGTTGAAACTTTAATAGACCCAGGGGCTTAAATAAGTCTCCTTTAATGTATATGTAAAACTTGAGCACTGTGGTAGTATGTGTAGCTCCATATTAATTTGTTTATTAGACATAAATCACACGCAGTGAAATAGTATTATTTACTGGATGACAAAGTTTCAAACACAACTTATTACTCCCCATGATCACTTCATCAATTATAACTGCACAACTGCGAAACCATCGTGTTTTGGTTTTCTTTGTTCCTTCCTATTCGTTGTCGTAGGGGTAGTAGAATTCTCCAGATGTCCGGCTTGATAGGTGTTCATTCACTTCTATTGCACGTGTTTGCAGTTGATTCGATGAATAAGCTTCCGTTGTTATCAATCTCTCCCTTCCCACCTTGTTGTATTAGATTCTAAGACTGTCATCATTATCCCATCCTGTTGTATGATTGTGTGTAATTGCATGTGGTGCTATCTACGACTGATCTATTCTCCAAATTTCTTACTATCTTATTCAGGTCAACTAATCTAGATTTTGCTGTTATTTTTATGCTCCGCTGGTCTGACTGACTAACCCCGTTCTACTCCTTTGACCTATGTATTTGACCTGACAATCATTCCGGCAGAGTATTAGATAAACTAAATTGTTTGAATTGTCTCTACAGGATCCTTTAACCGATACCGCTTCTTTCTAATTGAGGCTGTGGGTGTGAATACCACTTTTATGACTGCGTTGTTAAGAATTCTACGCAAGGTTTCCGAGATCTCTTCTTTGTATGGAAGTACTAATGATGGTTGAAATTCCTTATTGTTGATGTTGCCATCATTCTGTGCATGTTTGTTATGATTGTGTTATTATTGTTATAGTGCGTCGGTGGCACAGCGGTTAGGACTCTCGCCGACCATGCACATGGTCCGGGGTTCGATCCCCGGCCGAAGCACACCCAATATCAATGGTCGGCCTGCAAATTTTGGGTTACCGATATCACGTGCTGAAAATTCCATACTTGTATCAAAACTACGGTATGGAATCAAGCTATAATCAAAATTCAAAAAATACTATTAGTACTACTAATGTTATTGCTACATTTTCCAACACACTTCCTGATTAACTTATCAGGGTAACTATAATAATAATATGATAAGAAATTTGGAGAATAGATCAGCCGTAAATAGCACCACATGCAATAACACACAATCATACAATAGTATGGAATAATAATGATGGCAGTCCTAAAATCTAATACAAAAATGTGAGGAGGGAGAGACTGATAACAATGAAAGCTGTATTTATCGAATCAACCGCAAAGACGTGCGATAGAAATGAATAAACACCTGTCCAGCCGGACATCTGCAAAATTCTACTACCTCTCCGACGATGAATAGAAAGGAATAAAGAAAGCCAAAACACGATGGTTTCGAAATTGTACAGTTATAATTGATGATGTGATTATGAGGAGTAATAAGTTGTGTTTGAAACTTTGTCATCCAGTGAATAATACTATTCCACTGCATATGATATATATCTAATAAACAAATTAATATGGAAGCCTCCTGTCAAATGTCCGGATCACAGAGATCTTGGACCTGTCGCTGGTTTCAGAAGACTAAGCTTAATATGCAGAATAACAGAAAACGGTTGGGCAACACGATTGTTTATTCTTCAAACGATAACGAAACCGATTTACAATGGTTAATCACTGCCACAGTCTATAAATAAACGTTAATATGATGTACAACCATACTTCTGGTCGTATTTCCCCAATCTTCTGCTAACCAGTACACGATTAAGCAATGCCAGTCATCTTATCTCCCGCCGATATGGAAACCAGTTCGGATAAACAAACTCTTCAATGTTCACGAGCATTGACACCTCCTTTATTTATTCACTTTTGTTTATTCCTTCTTTATGTTTCCATTTTTCGTATTAAGGAGTCTAAATCAGCCAAAGAGTTATCGGATTTACGTCGTGTAGTTAGTCAAATACCAGATATTCGATTAAAACGATCAGAACTTGAAATACGTAAGTTCTTCTTTCAAACAGATTAACTTTTAAGTATTTTGTCTTATATTTATATAAAAGAAAAGAAGGCGTTCAGCGAAGAGACTCCTTTCGGTGAATTCATTCACTGTGCTGTAAAATCGCATTTATATACAATTTTGTTTGTGTGTGTGTACATTAGATTTATAAAGTTTAGATAATTACGTAATATAAATATTATTTTGCTTGGAAACAAACGTTAATTAGATAGAAAATAAAATAAAATTGATTAAGTGAATTGGATGACGTAATACAATTGAGTAGAATTCAGAGTAGGTCAGGTTGGCGACAGTGTTAATGAGTGGTCGTTAAAATTAAACAAGGGTAGGGGTAGAGAATAATACAGTTGAAAATTAAATAAGTTAATCGGATGACGTAATATAGTTTACTAGAAATTGGACGTGGGTCGAGTTAGCAACATTGTTAATGAGGGTAGAGATTACAAAAAGGTGGGGTGGGAAATAATATAAATGAAGATGTGAAATAATAAAATGCAAAAGACAAAATAATACAATTAGTAAGACTGAAATTAAGAAAGATTACGTCCATTGTAGATTTAATGAATGAACGAATTTCTTCTGTATGCAGAGATCAGGATTTAGCAGATGAATTGCCATTGCTTCTGCAATGTGGAGAAGTTTGATCCGTACACTTTTAGCAAGATTGCCTTGTATTCTGTAGATAACTTTGAAGTTTATTTCTGGTTTGACTTGGTGTCCAGAGTCGATCAAATGTTCAAGGATCGAGCTGCGGGGGCATTGGTTTTCTCCTTTACAAAACTATGAAGGTAGATGTTCGTTGACGCGTTTGGAAAGCAAACGCTGAGTACGGCCGATATACCTGGCTCCACACGAGCAGGTGAATTGGTAGATGCACATAGATGAGGCCAACAGCGGTAGCTTATCCTTCACGTTCATGCGAATCATTGGTCTCGTGGAGAACGTCAGTCGTAATTCGGCTGCAAAGAAGGTTTTCTTCAATGAGCGGGAGAGCCAATTTCTCAGTATTTCTGTAGATTGGTCTCCATTGAACTGTAGGTTCATATAGAGAAGTCTTTTTGGAGAACTGGGTGCGGGAGACTTCTCTGGTCTGGGTTTCATTGATTTTGTGATAAATATTTCATAAGTATTGATGGGAGGATACACTGTAAAGTATGTTTATGTTAGCGAAACTAAATGTTTAAAATGACTTGATCGCTAACCACTTTTTGTCTGTACGTCAAAATTCAAAAAATGAAGTTTCATCAAGTTTAACCACGGATGGATATCGGTTAGAGATCCATTGAAACCCTCACTGGTGGTGATTGGCTCCTATACAAATTTACCTGGAGTTCTAATGAGAAGTCGTGACCAGTGCGGTCCATTAGCAGGTCGGGAGGGAGGACTAATACTTGCCATGGAATGACATTGGCTGGTGACAGTCGAATTAGTGGAAGTTAGAATTCCTGGACTGGCCATTGAGAAGTTGCGTCCTAGTAGTTGAGTGGTCTCCGAGCTCGCCTTGTAACTGACATGAATTAACAAGAAGATCATGCTATTAATAACCCACTGGTTTGGAGTCCATATTCCGTCTTGGTTTGTAATATGTTCCCATCATAATGAGAAATCAATCTATTACTCTCGGAATGATGTTGTCAAACTTTATTGAATACTAGTATGCGGAACAAAAAGGTAAAGGTATTAAAGAAATAGGATTATATAACTAAGGTAAGGATACAGTATGATTGCATCTACATGATTACAGTCGATTCTGAGCCTTTCTTCATACAATTTAAGTTTACAACCTGATCCCCTAACGTATCTTATACTAATATGCTGTCTGATCACATCTTCATTGGCTACACTATGATTCCACTCAACGGGAGCAATATTTCTTCTTGTTATTGTTCCCTAGGGTTCCGAGTGGAACATAGGGCTTCAGAACCACATCTCTACTTTGTCATAATTTCTAGGGTCCCCTTTACCTGATCTCACCATTGCCCATACTCTGTCATCTCTTGCTCGCACAATCTCCTCCATGTCACCGTCGGACATACGCCTAACTCATTGTTTCCTATTCTGGTTCTACCCGAGAGATGGCTTGCATTGTGTGTGACGTCGTTCGACGGTCTCCTCAACGTATGTCCAATCCATCTCCATCTTCTCCTACATATTTGTTGAGCTATAGGTTCTTGGTTGGTTTGTTCTCAAAGTTTCTTGTTGCTAATTCTTCCTCACTGGCCATTTGATCTCCAGTATGAAGCCAGCGAAGGTGTCAGTTTTCAGTGTCCTGTTGGAAGTACTTTTCGTGACGCGCCAAGTTTGTGAACCATATAGAAGCACTGACTGACTTCACACCAGTGTTGATAAGCCAAATCTTATTCTTTTTACTGATTTCAGAGTGAGTAATGGAGGTCCGCCTTGCCTTTCCTATTCTTGTTTTGAAATCGTCATCCATTCCACCTGTAGTTGAAACGATGCTTCCTAGATAAGTGAAGGAAGTAACCTTTTTCAAATTTTTCCCGTTCATAGTGATTGGTGCTTGTTGTTGTTGTTGGTTATCTTCATGATCTCCGTTCTTTCTACACTCACTTCAAGTTCTGTCTTCGCTGCTTCTTCAACCAGTTGTTGGTTCTCTCTTGTAGGTCTCCGAGTTGGTGTGACATATGACGCAAGTCTTCTGCAAAATCCTAATTTTCTAGTGTCTTCTTATCTGTCCGGCATACTCCTGTCTTCTCACTCCTCATAGTCTGACGCATAATCCAGTCCACCACAATTAGGAATATCGTCGATGATAGTAGGCGGCCTTGTCTTACTTCTTTACTGGCTTCAAAGACTTAGCTGAGCTTTCTGTTGTGGATCGCCCGGCATGTGGCAATGTCATACAGCGCTGTTAAATGAGGTTGATAAAGATTTGGGCAGTGTATGCTATAGTGTTGAATTAGTTTCCAAAATACTTCTCGGTCAACGCTGTCTGTCGAAGTCGATGAAGGAAGTTGAGGTAGAGGTTTGACTGCCATTCTACGCTTTGCTCTATGGTGATGCGTAGAGCTGCAATTTGATCAGCACATAGTTGGTCTTTCCAATATATCCAGCTTGTTCTGTTGGGGCAGAGTTCTGCACCCAGTGCATCTATTATTCTCCCCAGGATGGTGTAACTGTGTATTTTACTTGGCATAGGCAAGATGTTTAAGTCGCCCTTCTTTGGCAGTTTGACAAAGTAGCAAGCCTTTTTTCCAATCGATAAACACCTTTCCTTCCTTCCAAACCTTCTGCAATAATGGCGTAAGCATATCCACTGAGGTCTCTAGGTCCGTCTTCACTTCTTCATAGAGAATTCTTTTCAACGACTTCATTTTCAAGCTGTACAGTCGTATTTATATTACAGAAAAGGTCATTAAGTGGCACTAAATAATTGCTCAGTCAATATACATATATGTGATAAGAATAACGATAATTAAAATGTTATAAGCGGTAGAGTTGAAGTGGATAAATTACAAAATTATTAAAGATTGTTTTATAAGTGAATTGAAAAATGTTTTAAAAAGGTCAAGTGTTGTCTAAAAAATTTTATAAAATAAGACTACGATTACGATAAGAATGAAGATGTGAAGTGAAGTGGAAAGAATTCAAGTGGTAAATGGCTTGCGGAAATTCTGGAACCCGTGAGATTAAATCTATGTAAACATAGTCTTTCGGATACTTTTGACTTTGTCAGTTGTGTTGATGAAATTAATGTGTCTGGTAAGCATATGATTTCGCTAGATGTTTGTTCTTTGTTCACAAATGTACCACTAGTAGACACTATCTGCTATCTATGTGAGTATATTGATTCAAATAGCATGAACATTGGGTTACCAACTGAAGATCTTAAACAACTATTATTGAGATGCACACTGAATGTGCAATTTAGATTTAATGATGTCATCTATAATCAAAGGGATGGAGTCGCAATGGGTTCTCCTTTAGGACCGCTCTTAGCGGACGTCTTCATGGCTAGCTTAGAGAATGGCCCACTAAAGGAAACCATCGGTAGTTTGTCTATGTATAAAAGATATATAGACGACACTTTCATTGTATGTGACGAAAACTCTTCAACTGCTGAACTTCTTGGAATATTTAATGGTTCTCACCCATCTTTGCTTTTCACGGTCGAAGAAGAGTCGAATTCCTCATTTCACTTCCTTGATGTAAAGCTAGATAGAAGAGACAATGGTACGTTGCTAAGGTCGATTTACCGAAAGCCAACATTCACTGGGCAGTACACTAACTTCAACAGTTGGGTACCGTTAGGGAGAAAGAGAAATCTTATTCATTCCTTATGCTCCAGAATTCGTAAAATCTGCTCTGCAGAAACAATCGATAGTGAACTAGATAAGCTTCGATCAAATCTCCTTAACAATGGTTATCCTACTAGGTTTATCGAACGTAACATCAAGAACGAACACGCCCCCAGACAAATTACAGTGCCGAAGAAAAAACTTCATGAGTCTGGCATTCAAAGGTGACACCATTTCGGAATTGATTAAAAATCGTTTATCTAAATGTATTAAACGTACTTTTCCTGCAGCTGACTTAAAACTAGTTTTTACCAGCCGAAATATGGTTAGACAATGCGTCAAGGATAGATTGTCCACATCTATGTGTATTTACTCTTTTACTTGCTCTTGTGGAGCTGTTTATATTGGACGTTGTAAGCGTAATCTCCGAAAACGTGTAGCTGAACACTATCCAGTCTGGTTAATGAAAGGCGAACGTAGAACCGCGAAGTCGTCTATCTGTGATCACCTGTTAGATTCAGGTCATTTAGCCCCACGTGATTCATCTTTCAAAGTTATCTACATGGCAAAATCGAATCGATCCAAAAGTTTACGTTTTCTTCACTTATGCATAGCCGAAGCTTTAGCTATACATGAACAGAAACCTAAATTATGTGTTCAAAAACGTTTTGTCAAACCCCTTTCTTTACCTTGGTCATAGTAATGTTCTTTCTAGTTTTTACTTTATTTTATTTTACCACTTGAATTCTTTCCACTTCACTTCACATCTTCATTCTTATCGTAATCGTACTCCTAATTTTTAAAAATGTTTAGACACTTGACATTTTTAAAACATTTTTGATTTCAATTCACTTATAAAACAATCTTTAATAATTTTGTAATTTATCCACTTCAACTCTACCGCTTATAACATTTTAATTATCGTTATTCTTATCACATATATGTATATTGACTGAGCAATTATTTAGTGCCACTTAATGACCTTTTCTGTAATATAAATACGACGGTACAGCTTGAAAATGAAGTCGTTGAGAAGAAATTTCTTCGCTGAACAAAAAACTGTGTTTTTACTTATGAATAAATGGGTATTTTTCGTGATAGAGAATTCTGTCTGGTGAAAGCAATGCTACAAACGCTATTTCGCCTTTTATTGTTATAGTTTCACCGCCATAAAGTAGAACAGAATGCATTGTTGTACAGTACTCTCAAGCATCTCTTAGTAGACATCTTACATTTATTGTATAAATATTTCACGAAAAATACCATATTATTCATAAGTAAAAACACAGTTTTTTGTTCAGCGAAGAAATTTCTTCTCAACGACTTCATTTTCAAGCTGTACAGTCGTATTTATATTACAGAAAAGGTCATTAAGTGGCACTAAATAATTGCTCAGTCAATATACATATATGTGATAAGAATAACGATAATTAAAATGTTATAAGCGGTAGAGTTGAAGTGGATAAATTACAAAATTATTAAAGATTGTTTTATAAGTGAATTGAAATCAAAAATGTTTTAAAAATGTCAAGTGTCTAAACATTTTTAAAAATTAGGAGTACGATTACGATAAGAATGAAGATGTGAAGTGAAGTGGAAAGAATTCAAGTGGTAAAATAAAATAAAGTAAAAACTAGAAAGAACATTACTATGACCAAGGTAAAGAAAGGGGTTTGACAAAACGTTTTTGTTCATGAACAGCTAAAGCTTCGGCTATGCATAAGTGAAGAAAATGTAAATTTTTCGATCGATTCGATTTTGCCATGTAGATAACTTTGAAAGATGAATCACGTGGGGCTAAATGACCTGACTCTAACAGGTGATCACAGATAGACGACTTCGCGGTTCTACGTTCGCCTTTCACTAACCAGGCTGGATTGTGTCGATGGCACAATGGTTAGGACTCTCGCCAACCATGCACATGGTCCGGGGTTCGATCCCCTGCCGGCGCACATCCGATATCTATGGTCGGCCTGTAAATTTGGGCTAGCGATATCCGTGCTGAAAATTTCATACTTGTACTGAAAATACGCTGTGGAATCAAGCTGTAATCAAAATTTTAAAAAATGAATAAAAATAGCTACACGTTTTCGGAGGTTACGCTTACAACGACCGATGTAATCAGCTCCACAAGAGCAGGTAAAAGAGTAAATACACATAGATGTGGACAAAAGCGGTAATCTATCCTTGACGCATTGTCTAATCATATTCCGACTGGTAAAAACTAGTTGCAAGTCAGCAATATTTGACTGAAGCCATATAAACTTTCCTTATTTATATTGTGATCTTCTTGGCTATTAATACACTAGAATCGATGCGAATTCAAATGTTCGGTGTAAGTGAATTATGCAGTAAATTTAAACACTTTTAACTTCCTACAAATCAGACATGAATGGTATCGATGTAAACAAGTTTTGAAGTGAATACATCTACATTTTTAGGCATCCTCATCTAATCTGTGTTAAACTATAAAACATAGATCTTGTTTTCTTTAATTTAATTTCATCGTCAATACATTCATCTTTATTTACAGATACTCTTCTAGCAGAAGATATACAGAAACGTGTAAGCACTGATGACTTTCTATCGGGTTTAAAAGCTCAACAAGGTGTGTGTGTGTGTGTGTTTATTCCTGTTCTCTTACATTAGTTTGTTATTTTCAGTTTTATCTTTTTTCATAATTCACCAACAAATCTAGGACTCATGTTTCTTCGTCCTATTCTGGACTCATCAGCCGAATGTGCTTCACTCCAGTGAGGGATGGTGTATTCTCCCTTCAAGACTCAAAATAACCGCCAAGGTGTGTTATCCACTAGGTTCAATTCTTCATGGGGAAAAACCATCAGTCGCTGGAGCGTAAGCACATCCAACCTGCAGACTACAATTAAGATGTAAAACGTGCCTCATTGATTCATATACTAGCCCCACCCCGTCACCCCAACACAAAAATCGAGAAGCTCTGAGTTATATTATTAATCTTGTGAAGATGGAGACTTTTCTTCAAGAAGCCCAAATAACGAAATTAGGTTGATCAATTACGTTGGATATATCAACGGGGATTATGACTGACTGGTTTCAGCAAAGAAATTTGCACAGATGTGCAGCAGTCCGAGTTGTCACACTCCTTCCATGTAGCACACAAAACAAGAAAAGCGAGTAGTGGGAGGTTCAAAACAGAGATAATAAACAGAAGTGTGAGGCAAAAACAATAGTTATATGGAAGAACAATAGAGTTCTATTGGATATTATAAATTACAAAGAGTGAGTGGATCTTCACCAGCCATTGAGAACTATTTTCAGCCATATCACGAATTGTCTTCAGCCTTCATTGGTTCTTACCATCCCGATTACCCCAACCAAACAGCCAGCCAGTCTACAGCTCCCTACGAGGCTGGCTTAAATTAACTGTTATGGATTTGATTGACTGATGAATCGATGTTTTGGTTTGACCACCTCGTGTTAGCTCTTTTCCAACCTGATCCATCCATCCTATGTCAGTGGCTAACATTGCCCGTTGTCGAGGAAGGCGATAGTTATTCATCATGCGTGATACATGTCCTAACGATCTCAATTGATGTGACTTGACAACCTCGTCGATTGATTTCCCCTCCATATGTCGCACTCGACCGTAGCCTAACCTCAATACTGCTCATCTTACTATACCACCTAACACGGGACATAGAACTCAGGTACCTATGATCAAATATAACTAGACTTTTCGTATCTCACAACTAGCCATAAAGAAGGACTGAACGAACTGGTGAGCAGTACACACGACATCAACCCGCTGGCGCTGACTGATACAACTTCTGAAATGAATGAATTGGTCAACACGCTCTATCAACCACTTCACTCCCTGTCTTTAAGCTAGCAATCATTGAAAGCCAATCCTTTACCATCATCTTACATTTGACACTCGCAAACCGCATGCAGAACATTCGAAGATTGCTGCTCAAGTTATCTAGAAGGCTCCGCATTTTGTTCGCATCTTCACGTAGGAGGGAGGAGTATATCATCCACATATTCTAAGTTGACGAGATTTTATACTGGTAACAAGTGAATCCCTGAGTCGTTGAATTCAGTTAGTGCAAATTCCATTCGTACAAATATGATGAAATTGATTAGAAATGAAGATAGTGGTCATCCCTGTCAGACACCACTAGTTGTCACCACTTGAGATGAAAACTCCGTAGGCTTTTACCTGGTGACATGAGTTCGAGTGGAGTGTCTTGATCTGTGCGATGTATTCCTTGCCGTTCCATTCACTATCAGACATTGCCATAGAACCTCTCGGTTGACAGAATCGAATGCCGGACGTCGGTAAGTATGCCTATGTTCCAGAATCTGTCAAAGGATGAAGATATGTTCAATACACCTTCTTCCCGGTCTAAAGCCTGCCTGGTTCTCTCATGTTTGTTTCTCCCCTGGACCGCTAAGTCTACGCATGATTATTGAGCCTAGGACTTTGGATACTATATTAGTCAAGCTAATCCTCCCTGTGATTATCACAGGAAGACTTGTCTCCTTTCCTGTTTATTGAGGATAATCAATGACTTACACCAACCCGACGCGACTAACTCTAATTCCTAGACGCTGCTTAGTACCTTAAACACCTCTGGAGTGATAGAGTCACAACTGGTATATACAGTCATGAATGAATAATTATAAGAAAACAAGAGGTTAAGAATAAATTGAATCCATTTATCATTTTTTTCCTCACTCCTTTTCGTATGCAATTAAAATCCGAGCAGGAGGCAGTCCTTTTTGCATATCCTGATTGAATTGTGTTACTGCCTATTATATATATATATATATATATATATATATATATATATATATATATATATATATATATATATATATATAGAATTTACTCATTTTAGACGGCTCTGATGATGCTACCCCCGGTTGCCGTAACCCAATGGCTAAATGTCCGCCGCTTTATTCAATGAACCACTTCTTCATAATATCAACTTAACTGAAATGGATATTATTGTCTGTCATATTCTATGAGTACTTTTTTGTCTTCAGAGACCGATAACATTATTTTATATCAATGAATTTTACTGCCTAATAGGAGTTATAGCTTATTGGTCGTGACTATCGGCTTCCAACTGATATAAGTCATGCGTTCGAATCTCTCTGCATGCACTGAGAGGTAGTTTAACCGTTTGTCACACTCAATAGGTGTGTAATTCATTGCTATCTGTATGGAATTGTAGGTGGTTGTTGCGTAACATTGACATTGATTGAGTTGATTGCCTAATAGTAATAATAATTAATAATTATGTTAATAATAGTAATTGATTCCTACATGATTGAATAATTTACTTTATTGGCTTTTCTATCTGATGGTTAGACTTTCTCAATTGCTGTGAATCGGATAAAGCACATCCTTTCATTGAAGATTGTATATTAAGAGGAGCACCATTGGAAGAGGTAATCATCTTATTTGATTTTGTTATTTCAAACATTTTAATGGAAATAATGTTCTTTCATACATTTTCCCCCCTTATTGTCGATATCCCGATAATACATTTGTAATGTGCAACAATGAATGTCATACTTCCAACCTACTTGGATGATTCAACGATGCGCATACAAATATTGAATTTACTATGGAACATGAAAAAATGATAGAAAGTTTTATTTCCTCGATATTGCCATACAACGCCTAGAAGATGGTAGTCTCCAGAGGTCAATTTATCGAAAATCGACATGGAATGAACAATACTTACATTTTAATAGTAAACGAGCACTAGTCAAGACTCTGCACTATAGAGCTAGGAGAATATGCTCTACAGAGAAATTTGAGGAAGAATTTATGATGCTCGAAAAGATATTGAAAAACAACCGTTACCCTCAAAGGTTCATTAACAAGTACGGAAGATCTGAGGTCTTAAATGTCTAACAAATCACACTGGAAAAAAGCCCATCTTCATTGAGCTTGATTTTAAAGGTGAACATATTACAGCAATTGTCAACAGAAGATTGAGGACATCACTAGCCCAGAGGCTATCCTGCAGCTAAGTTGGCTCCTGTTTATCAGATGGCATGCTCTTTGGTGCAATCAAAAGTCGATAGATATCCTTCCCATGTTAACTCCAACTGTGTATACAAACTTACATGTATCTGTGGGGGCAGTTACATTGGGAAAACATAAAGAATGGGCGTACCCCCGATTTTCTGAACATGTACCAAAAAACTTATGTTTTTAGGAAACAAATACTTTAAACAGTGCCATTGCTAGTCATCTCCTTGACATAGGTCATGAGATGGACGTCGAAAAGTCGTTCAAAATTATCAATAAGCAAAAGAGTTCAATTCTCCTTAAGTTTACCGAAGCAACCTCCATCAAGCTCCTGAAACCTGATTTATGCGTTCAGAAAGAAGCGGTTATCAGTCTTTCGTTGCTCTGGTAGCTGAACGCTTACCTTCCCTCTTTCTTCTGATTACTTCACACCGAAATACTCCATCGTGTATAATTATTATTTGTAAAAAATTATATTTGTAAAATCTCAGTGAAGTCAAAGTGTGTAATTCCAACGTTTCGTTCGGCAATCTGGTCCGAACTTCTTCAGGGAAATTAATCGAAATTAACATAACAGAGGCTTATATATAAAAGGCACATCTTTTGTTTTTAAAAACTTTGTCCAATCATGATTCATAAAACAAGTATTAACAAGTATAATCAACAAAATTGTATGAGCTGTGATCAAAATTTGACCTCGGACTTACAAATATCGGTCTACTTTTGTCAAACACTTTAAACAGAGTGTGCATGTGTGTGTGGGTAAACAGTTGTAAAACATTCCTTAACGTCTCCATAAGAAGATATGGACAGTCGAGAATTTTGACCAAGTATTAATAATTAGTGATGCATATCCATTTTTTATTTATTAATAAGGATTTCCTATGCATCAGCTAACATCACGCCTTCATGTCTGTTCAAACTGCTAGTATCTAGAATTTTATGATTAGACGTATTTTCAAAATTATGGTGGTTAGGATTAGAGTTTAGTAGAATCACCCTGTCGAACTTATTGCTTTGTCTTCTTTCTGAAGATTGAGCTGCTTTATTCGACCTACTGGAGTTGTCAGGTGACTCGACAGCTACGGATTTAGGATATGCATTCTGTTGTCGACAACGGAGAGTGAAAACACCTCTGTCATGTTAATTTCGATCAATTTCCCTGAAGAAGTTCGGACCAGATTGCCGAACACAGGAGACGTTGGAATTACTCGTTTCAATCTCGCTGAGATTTTACAAATATAATTTTTTACAGATGTCTACTTCTCACTCGGCGCCCAAATATTTTAGAAGTATTCTGTCAAATCTTGACGACAGTTCATTTGAATTGTATCATTATTATTGTTTGGGATAAAGTGATTGTTATTATTATTATTATTGTTAGCAGCATTGTATGCACATATTGATTGATTGATTGATTTTTGTTCAAAAATGAACTCTGTGTGCAAGTGTGTTGAAATTGTTTTTGTAGATATAGTTAATAATGACTTTGCCATGTAAGCAGCTGATAAGCAGCAAACGAAATGATAAATGATGGTACCATTTTATTCTACACAAACTGTTGTTATTGCTTTATTTAAATGCAAATAATGTGGTTAGAAACGAAACAGAAAGTTTATAGTTATTATTATTATTTTTCTGTCCTGTCTATGGTTGTGTAGAGAAACCTGTCAGCTGTATATAACATGTTATATTCAATGTTAGATTATTTCATTGCATTGACTAACTGTCTAACCATCGCCTCCCCCGACGGGCATTACTAGCTGATATAGGTGCAGGCTGGAAAAGAGTAAGTGGTGGCCAAACAAAAGCATGGCATCAATCCATGAAATCCTTGAGAGTTAAACTGAGTCAGGTAGGGAGATGCAGACTTCCGGGTTGAGGCCCTCGGGACTCTAAGAATCAATGGTGGCTGGAGACAATAGGTGACATGGCTCAAAATCGTTGTCAATGGCTTACGCAGATGTATTCAGTCTCCGTAATCTTTCATATTCCTTTCTACCATTACTCATTCTGTTTCACTCTTATACTTGTCAAAACTCTATTGGTTCTCTTCACTCATCTTCTTGTCTACCCTTGTGTAGTATTTGGAACGTGGGAACTCGAACTGCTGCACTTCGGTGCCAAGTTCTATGTTGAATCCAACCATTGACTAACTGTTGAATGTCCTTCAGATATACAGACAGTTTTTAAATCTTGCTATATGTCCAATTTCGTCAGAATAGATAGTTGAAAATGTAGACGCTGGGCATGTGCTATATTACGTTGTATGCATGAATCTGAATTGTATTCCACCTGCTAAGATTTAAAGGAATCAAGTAGGCATCATTAAGTTGTTCACAGTAGGTATCACTGAAAACTCTCGTGTGTTTTGTTTCCACGTACGCGGACGGGCGGCCATCATCGTTCGAATTACACTCAACACGGATAAGGATGTCAATAAGGCGAAGATAGAGAAACCAAGACAATACAATACTCAGCGCAAGGAAAAAAATATTCGGATTCTTAACATTAATCTAAAGTGAAAGCGCTACTAAAGGATTCAAAGATATGAGGCATGTATTCCCACTGTTTGTGCGTCACGGTGGTACAGCGGTTAGGACGCTCACCGGGGTTCGATCCTCGGTCACCGACGCACTCCTTTACCATGCTAAGCCAGAAATAAAGCCGGTAGAGAGGAAAGGTCGGGCATGAGACTAGCAACCCCATCCGATAAAAATAAGCACCACTGCTACAGAAACTTCAAACCTCTAGCTTGAAGCCTTATGCTCCACTGGGAACGTGAAGGAATAGAAAAGAAATTCCCACTGTTTCAAACTTGTCCTCGTTTGATACTGAAGATTAAACTGCTGTCTACAAAATGTAAAGGCAACAAGGAACACTGGAATCGAACCAACCAATAACCCATTTTCAAGAAAATATGCCGAAGAAAATAGTGATGGATTGATTACATGCTGACGAGGCAGTTAACTGAGATCGCGCGCCAGTCTGTTTTCGACATAGATCTTTACACATATGTGCGGCAGTTCAAGTCGCCACACTCCACGCAGCACACAAAGCAAGAGAAGAAAGTAGGAGAAATGCATAACAGAGACAGTAAACAGAGGTGTGACACAAAGGAATAGTAATAACGAAGAACAATACAGTCTCATTGGAAATCATGAGTCACAAGGAGTGGATGCATCTGCGCCATTGAGAACGACTTTGAGCCATGTCACCAATTGTTTCCAACCATTGGTTTTTACCGTCATCCCAAGGACCCTAACCAGGAAGTCTACATCTTCCTACGTGGCTTAGACTAACTGTTGTGGGTTTCATTGACTGGTGCCATGTTTTCGTTTGACGGCGGCTAGCTCTTTTCCAACCTGACCCTATCCCAGTCAGCTAACATTGCCCGTCGAGGAAGGCGATGACTAGGCGCGCCAGACTCTTGAGTGTGTAGCTTCAATGGTAAACGATGAGTTGGGCGGGTATCTGAGGCTGACATGGAAGCGGTCGTGTGAGGAGGAATTGAAAGCAGCTTATATTGTGCAAAGATTAATGATCCTCTTCAGTCACTGAGGCTGAAATAGGTGAATAGAGATTTTAACCTGTTAGCTGATCGCTTCCATCGATGTGCTACGTGTTCACAATGGAAATTAAAACCTCTACAATGTTGTTGCGTGTTTTTGCTTTGTTTTTGTCTTTGTTTATTTGATATTTTTGTATTATTACAATTGCTAAGGAAATGGTTGAGTGACATCATCTCACGTACACGAGGCCCTTGAAACAATGAGCTTGCTATACGTCCTGGGGTGAAATGACGTAACTTTTCTGAGAAAAAAAGAAAGCTTATGGGGGCAACTGCTGAGCCAGCTACAGAAGATTGCAGTGAACAGAGTGAAGTAACGATGTGCTACTGAAGTTCCCTATGTTCCACAAGGAACCCAAGAGAACAGTAATAATAATAATAACAATAACTATTATTGAAACAGGATATCGAAAATACAACTTTTTTGCTTACAGCTGTAAATTGGTGAATAAGTGGAAGGCAAGAAACACATTCATCAACCTGAAACCAATCTGGAAATCTTAGTCACTCCTCAGCATCAACAAAAAAATTCGGATTTTCAATATAAACGTCAAGTCAGTCAGTTCTTCTATACGTATGGATCAGAAACTTGGCCAGTGTGTCACAAAGAATATTTCCAACAGCCTGTTGCAGACCTTTATCAACAACTGTCTTCGTTCTATACTCAAGATCAGATGGCCGGAAAGAACAAGAACCAACAAGAAACTATGGGAACAAACAAAACAAGAACCAATCGCTCAACAAATATGCAGAAAGTGGAGATGGATTAGACACTCGCTGAGGAGGCCGCCGGGGTGACATCGCGCGTCAGGCCAGTGCTCGAGTGGAACTCGAAAGGGAAGCGACGAGTGGGACGTCCAAGAGTGACATGGAGGAGATCGTGTGAAGAGGAGCTGAAACAGTATGGATTAACATGGATTCATGTGAAAAGTACACCAGAAGACAGAAGCAATTTGAGACGTGCAGTAGAAGCCCTATGTTCCACTAGGAACCCAAGGGAACAATACGAGTAATAATCCACACACGAACATATCCTGCTTTCACTCTCATTTCATATATAGACAGTCTCATTGTAAATTGGTTGAACAACTCCCATTATATAGGTTATACCTCATAGACTAACTAACTGACTGGATTCAACATAGAACTTTGCACAGATGTGCAGCAGTTCAAGTTGCCACCATCCATCCCTTTATGTAGCTCACAAAACAAGCGAAGAGAGTGAAGAGACAGACATAATAGAGAATTATGAGACAAAAAGAAAAGTAATATGGAAGAAAAATGGAATTTTATTGGATGATAAAGAGCGAATGCATCTGCCCCAACCATTGAGAAGGATTTTCAGTCATATCACCAGTAACTGTCTTCAGCCTTTATTGGTTTCTATTGTCCCCGAAAATCCCGACCAGGCAGCAAGCAGTCTACACCTCTCGATGTGGCTCTCTATACCTCATACATGTAGGTGTGTCTGTTTGTTTACAGCATGACATGATCTACCCTTGAATTTGAATGTAACTCCCGCCCCGCCCAACCCATCTCACTCACCTCCACCCTTGTCTGAATATCTCATATCTTGTTTTCATCTTCTGCTGTTTTTGTTTAGTCTGTGTGATTCACCAAACACACCTTCTACTTCGTGTTTTAGGTTCTTCGGTTGATCTGTATTCAATCATTTTGTAATGGAGGCTTAAAACAACGACTTTTAGAATATTATAAGAATGAAATTATACAGGTGAGTTGATCAGTTTATTCTTCGCATACTAGACAGAGACACAATAATAATAATAATTATTATAATTGTAATAATAATAGCGCCAGTATTAATCTCAAGTTCACTTTTATAATTTCTTCTGTGTATTCTCATATACCTTTTTAAGACTGATTCGATCACTAGTCAGCCATCACAGTCTCAGGAATTTATGGTGTAATAATAATTATTATTATTATTTTCTTTAATTCCTAGAGGAACATAGGGCTTCAGCCGCGCGTCCCCACTGAGTTCGGTTCACCTGGCTCAAAGTCTGCACACATGCTTTCATCTCCTCGTCACATGACCTTCTCCAAGTCACCCTTGGACGACCAACTCGCCGCTTCCTCAGAGTATGGCCAATCCAACCAACCTCCATTTTTTCGTGCCTATTTGTTTCACAATCGGTTCCTGCTGGGTTGGTTCGCTCATTGCCAGAGATCCCTCATTATTACTGATCTTTTCTGGCCGGCCATCTGATCTTGATTGGTATTGAGCGAAGACAGCTGTTAATGAACGTCTTTAGTTTGTGTGAGGTGCTCTTTATGACGCGCAGTGCAAGTCTCTCATCCGTATAGTAGCCCTGACTGACTTCACATTGGAGTTGAAAATCCGGATCTTATTTTTGATACTGAGTGCTGTTGACCTCCACACAGGCTTGAGAGTAGTGAAAGCTTGTCTTGCTTTCCCAATCTTTGCTTTGATATCCTCAGTTCTGTCTGCCTGTAGTTGAAACGATGCTTCCCAGATAGGTAAGGGAGGTTGTTTCTTTCAGATTCCTCCCATTTATGCTGATTGTTGTCTGTTGTTGTTGTTCTTGTCCAGGAATCTTCATCACCTCTGTTTTCTCTATGTTCACCTGAAGTCCAACCTTCTCTGGATGCTTCTTCTGCCAACTTGTTGCTTTTCGCTTGCATATCTTCCAGTTTGTGGGAAATCAGACATATATCATCGGCGAAGTCTAGGTCCTCCAAGTTTTTTCTGTGAGTCCATTTTATGCCTGTTTCCTCATTGCCCGCTGTTTGTCGCATTATCCAGTCTACTGCAATCAAGAAAATCATTGGCGATAGTAGGCAGCCTTGTCTTACTCCCGTCTTCACTTCGAATGATTCCGTAAGTTTCCCGTTGTGGATTACTTGTCATGCAGCATTGTCGTACAACTGTTGGATGAGATGTATAATTGTCGGAGGCACCCTGTAGTAGCGATGTAGTTTCCAAAGCACCTCTCGATCGACGCTGTCGAAGGCCTTTTCAAAGTCGATGTAGTTGAGATAGAGAGGTGACTGCCATTCCAGGCTTTGTTCAATGATGATCCGTAGTGTGGCGATCTGATCAATACATGACTTGTTTCTCCTGAATCCAGCTTGTTCCGGTCGAAGTTTTTCATCCAGAGCTTGTTTGATTCTCTCCAGGATGATGCGGCTTAGTATTTTGCTTGGGATGGACAGGAGCATAATTCCGCGCCAGTTCTTGCATTGACTTTGGCATAATTATATTGTCTTGTTTTTTAGACTTTTCAACGGAAGACGCTCACTATCGCGTGAGAAATACTCTTTAGAGCCGGGGTTCACATGTACACATACACACACAATAGCTGCTATCTATTATGGGTTGATCAGGCTTGTATGTCTTAATGATTCAACGAGCTATCTTGGCTGGATCTAATGTTACTGCAGGTCCTACCATGCTGATAAAAGCAGTCGCTTTCATAGTGTGAGGTGTTTACACTGTGTCTGTGGGTTCTTTTTGGGCAAAGTTGTACTGCTAGCGAATAAGATAAGGTGTTTCCCTCAGATGACCAGCCGGTCAACTATGCTGCTTGTTATAGAATATTGAATCTGGTGTTCTGTTTACATAGATTGGTGAGGACTATAAATTAGAATAGGAATAAAAACAGTGAAACTTGATGGAGGAAATGGTTTATTTAATAATGGAAAAAAAGGTCATTCAGTCAGTTGGTGCCTAACACTACTTTCATCACATAAAATACATGCCAAACATAGTATCTTGGAATTTATACGCTTTGACGTGCGCGCATAAAGTCTTTTGAAATGACTTCTTGGTCTACCTAAGGAGGAGGAGACGCAAGGTGAAAGCTCTGGGTAAAGTGGACGCTCATAGTCTGTCAAAATCCCCTTAGCAAATTTATCGCATGAAATTAAGTACCTATCATTAGTGACGATGTCAAGGATGTAGCGCAATGGGATACCACCACTCACCCTACTGATAGTTTTCAGAGTTATACGAAGAATGAAATAGTTTTTTCTCTTAAACAACCCAGGAAAGAATAAGTAAGGATGAACAATATAGAAGAATAGTTAAGATGCAAGAGTTGACAGACTGACTGTAAGAGGAGGAGCAGGGGTTGAGTTATGCCCGACCGCCTTAACTTCCCGTTCATTCTGTGCATTCCGAGTGGAACATACGATTTCAAGCTTTGGAGGTACAATGACGCTGATGTTATTGTTTGTTAGCCTCTCACGCACAAACTGTCGTATTTTTCGAGCTTACTATCGACTAGTAAACCGGAGGAGGTGTAGGAGTTTGTCCAAACCTGACTACTTGGATAGCTGACGAACATTCCGTCTACCATCCTCGTCTTTGAGTAGTCTGACGGACAATAATTCATATCATTAGAAGTTAATTGGTGGATGTTGACTAGCAGTGGAATCCATGATGCGCATTTCGTCCTATTTGGAACTCGTCATCTGGATGTACATGCATTCCACAGTGAGTGATGATGTTCCCACCGAGGCTCGAATCCAGTGCCCACAGTTTCAAACGTCAAAACGTTTGCACTAGATCAATCTACGGGAAAATCTAAAATTGAATTAAATAATTAGTATGTCCCGTCGCACAAGAGGCGGGTCTCGTGGCCAAAGTGGTTTAGCGGATAACGCTTTGGCTTTTGAAACTTTGGACACTGGGTTTGAGCCTCGGTGGGAACATCATCACTCACTGGGGAATGCAGGTATGTCCAGATGACGGGTCCCAATTGGGACGAAATTCGCATCCTGGTTTCCACTGCTAGTCACCATCCACCAATTGACTTCTAAATACATGCCCAGACATCGACGAAGCATCTGCACAAGGAGCCGATATGTCAGCCTAAGACAATCAATCGACGGGAAAATCTAAAAATTGAATTAAATAATAATTCATATCATTGACACTTTGTCCTTGTTCTCAATTTTTTCTTTTTCTTTTTGTCTACTCTCAAGGTGTATGGTTTTGAGCATATTTTCACTTTGGATAATTTGGAACGTGTTGGCCTACTGCATGAATCATCGAGTAATCTACTACTGACTAGTCTACAAACATCAAATTTTACTCCACAAGAAAAAATCAATTTAAGGCATAGCAATCCTATAAATTCTAAATTGCCTACAAGTTTAAAACAAACAATTATCAATATAAGTATGAGTTATAATTCTGCATTGAAAGGAAACTTGCGCCTAATACCAGCGTTTCCTAATCATCATCATCATCATCTTGTAAATGATACTGAACAAGCTTTATGCAATATATTCTCTGGTTATATACCAATATCTACACGTCTTATTCAAATATTGACAAATAATTGGTATCCAAAATCGAATCTCTCCTCGTCGGTTAATCCTCCAATGATGACGGGTGGGAATAATCATCTTTCCACCACCAGTGCCGGGGGTGGGGGATCAAGTAATCTTTTCTTATCAAAAGCTACTAATGCTATTATGTCGGGGACACGTCTATTGTCAGGTCTTCGATCACCAGATAGCCTGGAAATGTCTGTATTACCAGAGGCGGCGGATGAACAAAACATGACATTCGGTTTTAATTCTGCTGCTGCTGCTGCTGCAGGAGGAGGTAGCGGTAGTGGCAGTGGCAGTGGTAGTAGTAAGCAACGTGTTTCCCTGCCTAATTATTCAACATTATCTACGCTTCCTGCGAATCGTCCGCCAATTGTTGTCCACTCATTATCTCATTTAATCAATGCTCCAGAATTAGAAGAGCTACAGCTACCAATGAATAATGATTTACCTTTCGAATCAAGTAATATCAATAATCATAATAATAAGATTGGTAATAGTTTGTTAAATACAAAAAGTAATCTAAATAAACCACGGATTATAGTTGTTGGTTTTGTTGGCGGTGTAACGCATGCAGAAATATCAACTTTAAGAACACTGGCTGCTGTTGAAGACTGTAAGTAATACAAGGAGTAGATGTTTGATATTATTATCATTTCTATATGTGTGTATACATATTGTTGTATAAGAAGTCGTGACCAGTAGGGTGCAGCTGGTCGTCTGGTGTGAGGACAAATACTCGTCGAAGACGGATTCGTGAATTGGCAGAAGTTAGAATTCATGCTGGCCATTGGATCGGGTTCCAGTGGCTTAATGGTATACGAGCTCTTGGCCTTGTTACCAGAAGGCCCTGGGTTCGACCCTTTGATGAAGAGTCCAAAATCAGGACGAAACAGCTGTCCAGTATTCCCAGGTTTTCCAATGATGAAATCCTGAAAATGATTTTTGCTTTGTTGTCAACAAATAAGAAAAATTTAAATACTTTCGTGATTAATCTCAACTTTTGTAGCCAACAGTAATGAAAAGAATGTCAGTCATAACGATGATTCTAATGATATAGCACGAATAATGATGTTAACAAAAGTACAAAATGGGTTATCCTAGGAGATTTGTAAGGAGACATATGAATACCATGTATAATAAAGAGAAACTGTCAACGGTTAAAAGGAAACACCTCTTCCTGAAACTGCAATTCAACGGGGACGTGGCTAGTGAAATCCTACATCTAAGATTATCTAGAGCCATAAAATGGACTTATACTTCTGCCACCCTTTGTCTATCATTTTCCAGCCGCCCAATTATGTATGATTGCTCAAGCGAAAGATAAGCTGTCTAGCTGTGACACTTCTGTGTGCATTTACAAATTCAGCTGTTCCTACAGAGAAGAATATATAGGTTGAACAACTGGACAGCTCAACAAACGCATCATTCATTACTGAGCATCTTCCTTCATGATTCAGAATTGACCTAGTAAACTGTATAAGAAGTTCTATTTTGTCTCATTTGATTGGTGATAGAGGTCACCAAGTGCATAGAAGAAGAATTGTCTTCAAAGTTATCTATCGCATTCCATTGAACCTTCCGAATGGAATTTGAAACCACCTTTTACACACATAGCTGAAGCTATGGGAATTAATTAATTTGAGAGAAGAAGTTTGTTCTACCTTTGTGTCTCTCTCTTGGCGTAGGTAAATTCTGATTTAAAATAAACCTCCCAACCTTTCCTTTCTATCTATATCCTGTGTTCTAAGTACAGTGAATGTGTCATCTACATACCTCCACCATACTTTTGGGGTGGGGCTGAACTTAGCGACTGAAACGTCCAGCCCCAACCCAAAATTATGGTGGTGTTGTTGTTATGTCATGTGAAAGTTACTTTTTGTAAATCATGTGAACGCCAGAAAACACTCCTTTTATTTCGTAGATAGCTGCCGACGTTGCCTTCTGTTTTCACTCATTTTTCTCCCCCCCCCCCCCCCGGTAGCTGCTATATCTCAATGTCCCAATGAGCTGTACTGACTAAAACGAGTGTTCCTGCAGGTTTTTGATTGAAAAGGTCAATTAGATAATGATTGATTGGACAAAAAACAGTTACTGTCATAGTATAAGTTGTTTTACACAAAATGTTGGGTGTTTTTTCCTTTCGGCGAAGTCTCGTACTGCTGGAGAATAGGAGTGTAATAGCATTAAGAGGTGACCAGCAGGCCTGCTATTTCGCCTCTCTGTCCTGGAGAGAGGGAGCGGCGGTTAGACAATGTTGGCTCCGAAAATTATGCATCCTCACATGCCTTGTGGTGGTTCCCTAGTTGGAGAGGTAAGATCCTAATACACGCACTCTCATGTCTAAAAACTGTTTCAAGGATGCCGTGCATGACTGGCTTCAAGGGGTTGTCCCTTAGTCTCTGCAGTCAAGCAGCATCCATACTCTTTCTGCTTCAGGTACTCCAGGGAAGAGAATCAACTTTTGTGTGATGTCATCAGTATGGAAGTAATAATCCAACACACAGAATTCCATAAACGCCAGTCAGTTACTTATTCTCTACTTTAGATGAATAGCTTTCAGATATTATTATTATTGTTCCCTTGGGTTCCTAGTGGAACATAGGTCTTCAACTGCACGTCTCCACTTGTTTCTGTCTTCTGCTGTACTTTTCACCTGCATCCATGTTAATCCATACTGTTTCAACTCCTCTTCACACGATCTCCTCCATGTCACCCTTGGAAGTCCCACTCGAGGGCCTGACGCGCGATGTCACCCAGCGGCCTCCTCAGCGAGTGTCCAATCCATCTCCACTTTCTCCTGCATATTTGTTGGGCGATTGGTTCTTGTTTTGTTTGTTCCCATAGTTTCTTGTTCGTGATTCTTTCCGGCCATCTGATCTTGAGTATAGAGACGAAGACAGCTATTGATAAAGGTCTGCAACAGGCTGTTGGAAATATTCTTTGTGACACACTGGCCAAGTTTCTGATCCATCGTATAGAAGAACTGACTGACTTGACGTTTGTATTGAAAATTCGAATTTTGTTGTTGATGCTGAGGAGTGACGAAGATTTCCAGATTGGTTTCAGGTTGATGAATGTGTTTCTCGCCTTCCCGATTCTCGATTTGACATCCTCGTCCGTTCCTCCTGTAGTTGAGACAATGCTCCCTAGATAAGTGAATGAAGTAACCTCTTTCAAATCCCTCCCGTTGATGGTGATTGGCGCTGGATGTTGCTGTTGCTGTTGTTGTTGTTGTTGGTTGGTTATTTTCATAACCTCCGTTATAGCTTTCAGATGCTTTCGTTTCAAAACGTGATGTAGACGCTTACATAATTATTTATTAAATAAATATAAAACCTTCCCATAAATGAGAGATATTTTTTTCAAGAATTAGTTTGTAGGGATTTTATTCGTTTCAGGTTAGACTATGTATTGATAACAGTTAGAGGACCACTGAAATCCAGGGATTACTGAACAACTGCTTCATCCTAGTTTGGGACTCATCGGCAGTACGCACCCACTGGGTTTCGAACCTACAATCTTCCAGTTACAAAGCGATCGCAGAGACCATTCAACCACTGGAACCCGACTTCTCAATGGCTAGCCCATGAATTCTGATTTCTACCGATTCATGATTTCAGCGTCACCACCAACCAATGTCATCGGCTGGAAATCCACCCTCACTCCCGACTGGATGGACCCTACTGGTCACAACTTCTCACTAGAACTGTAGGCAACTTCGTCTTGCAGCCAGTCACTAGCTAGCTGAAATAGCGAATTGTTAGAATTCATGGGTTGGCCATTGAGAAGTCGAGTCCCGGTGGTTGAATGGTCTCCGAATCGCCTCGTGGGTTCGAAACCCACTGGGTGTGTAGTGCCGATGAGTCACAGGCCAGGATGAAACAGCTACCCAGTTCTCCCCACTCGTTTTCAATGGTTCTTTAACTGCTGATACCAATCCGTGGTGTTAATCCCTAAACAAATATTTTCTTTATCGATTATAATTTCTTCAAAATGATTACAGTGATTATTTATAATATTGGGGTTTCTTTTTTTCTCTCCTCTTCATGCTTTCTTTCAGCTAATATTGAATTTGTTATTATTACAACGGGATTTTTAACAGCGCACACATTTATCAATTCTCTCAGTCAACCAATGAAACCGATAACATTGATTCCATTTTAAATTACTTGCTGATTTATTATTGATACTTATGCCCACATTATTATCATTTCAAATTGTGATTTACATTCTACTGCTTTGTAATTTGTTATTATTATAATATTATTTATATTTATAGTCTTTTGGTGGTGTATTACTTATTTGCAGTGAGTAGTAGTGTTGTATTCATACTTGTTGACGCCTATTTTGCGACGTGCTGGATTATACTACTCAATAAGTGACTAAATGTGAAATGGAATTTAAGGACGTTGAAAGCGCTTATAATGATGGTTAGGTGTGTGCATACACATATATATGCGATAATTCCCTGTGCCACTGAGCCGCATTCGTTATCTCTCAGACCATACTTAGGATTTCCTGATGTTAAGGCAACAAAAAACTGTCCTTTGGAGTTCACCAACATTCCTTTTCTTTCGCCCATTTCCAAGAATTGCAAACAGTGAGCTGTAATGAAGCCTTCCAGGGTGAAATTCATAATATTCATGATATCAGGCCAACTGGACTCAGTATGTATTAAGGGGTAGGATTGCAGTAGATTGGATAATACGACAGACAGCGGGCAATGAGCAAACAGGCATAAAATGGACCCACACAAAAAACTTGGAGGATCTGTACTTCGCCAATGATATATGTCTGATTTCCCACAAACTGGAAGATATGCAGATGGAAAGCAACAGTTGGCAGAAGAAGCATCAAAGATAAGAAGGAATTCAGGTGAACATAGAGAAAACAGAGGTAGGTGATGAAGATTTCTGGACAACAGCCACAGCAACCACAGTACACGACAATCAGCATAAGTGGGAGAAATCTGAAAGAAGCAACCTCATTTACCTACCTGGGAAGCATCGTTTCAACTACAGGCGGACGGAACTGACGAGGATATCAAAGCAAGAATCGGAAAAGCAAGACAAGCTTTCATTACTCTCAAGTCTGTGTGGAGGTCAACAGCACTCAGTATCAAAAGTAAGATCCGGATTTTCAACTCAAATGTGAAGTCAGTCAGTGCTACTATACGGATCAGAGACTTGCACCGCGCGTCATAAAGAGCACCTCAAACAAACTACAGACCTTCATCAACAGCTGTCTTCGCTCAATACTCAAGATCAGATGGCCGACCAGAAAAGATCAGTAATAATGAGGGATCTCTGGGAGCGAACCAACCCAGCAGGAACCGATTGTGAAACAAATAGGCAGGAAGAAATGGAGATGGATTGGCCGTACTCTGAGGAAGCCATCAAGTGACATCACTAGACAAGCTATTGCTCGACTGGAACCCGAGTTGGTCGTCAGTGTAAGGGTGACTTGAAGGACGTCATGTTAAGAGGAGATGAAAGCGTGTGGGCAGACTTGGAGCCAGGTGAAAACTCTAGCAGAGAACCGAACGCAATGGAGACTCACGGCTGAAGCCCCATGTTCCTCTGGTAATTAAAGGAAATAATAATAATAATTAAGGGGTACAGTTGAAGTGGATGAATTGCAAAACTTGAAAAGATTATTCAATAAGTTAAGCGGTAAAATATTTTAAGGCTGTAGATCAAGTGTTGTCTAAAAAATTAACAGTACGATGATGATAACAGTAAAGACGGTCAAGATGTAGTGAAGCGGAATGAATTCAATCGGTAAAATAGAATAAAATAAAAGAACATTATTATGACCTAGGTAGAGAAAGGGATTTAACAAAACGCTTTTGAACACATAATTTATGTTTGTGTCCACGTATAGCTAGAGTTTTGGTTATGCATAAGTGGAGAAAACTTAAGCTATTGGAGTGGTTCGATTTAGTCTTGTAAACAACTTTGAAGGAGAGATCACGTGTGACCTAACGTCCTGACTCCAGAAGGTGTTTACAAATTGAAGACTTCGTTGTCATATGCTCACCTTTCATAAGCCAAATTGGGTAGTGTTGAGCAACGCGTTTACAGAGAACATGCTTACAACATCCGATGTAATCAGCTTCACACGAGTATGTGAAGGAGTATACGCACGTAGGCTGGCTGACTGGTTTCAACAGAGAACTTTGCATCGATAAGCAGCAGTTCGAGCGCACACTCCTCCCTTCTTGTAGCACACAAAGCAAGAGAAAAAAGGAATGCAAAATAGAGACAGTAAACAGAGATATGAGGCAAGAAGAATAGTAATATGGAAGAACAGTGTAGTTTTATTGGGTATAATAAGTCACAAGGAGTGGATGCATCTGCACCAGCCATGGAGAACGATTTTGAGCCATATCACCAATTGTTTCCAGCAATTGGTTTTTAACGTCCTGAGGACCCCAACCGGAAACTCTACACCTTCTTACCTGGCTGGCTGGCTTAAACTAACTGTTGTGGATATCATTGACTGATGAAGCTATGTTTTGGTTTGACCACCACTGGCTCTTTTCCAACTTGATTCTATTCCAGCCAGCTATCATTGCCCGTCGTGGAAGGCGATGGCTAGGCATGGGTAACACATGTCCTAACCATCTCAATCGGTGTAACTTTACAAGTAAATCAACCAGTTCAGAGAACACAACTAATTCAATGTCATCCACCTTAGCTACAAATCATCACCATTATATCAAATGATCATTAAATGAACTCGCAAACATGTTTAATTGACGTTCAACGAAACACTGGGTTGAGGATAATGGCTATTGTGATGTATTTTCGCTCATATTATAAGTTATCGTGTTCACACCTATAGAGGCGTCTATTTTTAGGAAAATCGGAAATTCGACTGTAGTTGAAAAAAAATCAATATTCGCTTGTATTTTGTTAGTGTTAGTGCGTTAAAGTGTTTTTATATCCTGTTTGAATTATTACGAAAAAAGGAATGATCTAAGAGAAATTATGCATAGAAGTGACTTTTATTTTTGTTTGGGAACCTCAAAGGTCTGATATTTGTAGATGGATTTTGATTTTCAGCACCCACCGGGGTCCGAACCCAGCACCTTCTGGTTACAAGGCGAGCTCGTAGACCATTGAGCCACTGGGACCCGATCCCATGGTCCTTGAATTCTAACTTCTGCCAATTCACGACATAGTGCAACCATTTCACAATGTCTTCTTCGATGAGTTACTGCCTCATCTTCAACCTGCTGTACCCTACTGGTCACGGCTTCCCACTAGAACCCCAGGTTAACTGCTTGAATAGGGTCAGTCACTAGTAAGCATCAGATTAATTTTGAAGTATTGGTTTTGTAGGGATTTTGTTTGATTACATGGAGGATTTCATCATGAGCTGACATCAGTTAGAGAACCACTGTATTGGGTCCTAGTGGCTCAATGTTTTACGAGCTCGCCTTGTAACCAGAAGGTCCTGGGTTTGAATCCCGGTGGGTGCGTACTGATGAAGAGTCCCAAACTAGGATGAAACTGCTGTCCAGTACTCCCAGGTTTTCCAATGGTTCTCTAATTGATGTCAGCTCATGATGAAATCCTCCATGTAATCAAACAAAATCCCTACAAAACCAATACTTGAAAATACAAGAATGGAGAATATGTGTGTAAATGATGAAATATTTGTGACATTATGAATGTATTCGTTGAAATAAACGCTTCTAAAAGATTTGCACACCATTCATACATTATTAATAATACTTATTATTTGTCAAGGTGAAAGGTGATGCCAATTTAGAAGACGTAATATGCCTAAAATGTCACATTTACACGTGATTGAATTTGGATATGATGAGGCAGTATTATTGCTTTTCAGTAATTGCTTTCGCTCGTAGACTACAAACAGGCGATATGCACAACAAAAGTCAATGTAATAAGTTGCAATATTTTATGACAACAAAATAATCAATGAAGTTGAGTCACGTGATCAAATAATACATAAGTCTAAGGGCTTAGGAGTGGTTATCATGAACAAAGCGTATTACTTTGAGAAGATGAATACTATTCTTAATGATAATCTAAAATTCCAAAAAATCTCCTCTTCTCTGGATCCGATTGAAAAGATAGAGAAACAGTTAGTGGAAACATTGAAAAGACTGAAACAACAAGGCTTCATCTCACAGAGTCAGTACACATCACTTAAACCCACTGGAACGTTCACACCAAGACTATATGGCTCGCCTAAACTGCACAAAAATGGTGTACCGCTGTGACCAGTATTAGATATGCTAAATTCACCATACCATCCTATAGCCAAATGGTTAGTCGAACTCTTACAGCCCCTTCATACTGAGTTGGTGAAACATAGTGTAAAGGATACTTTTGGATTCGTTGAAAGAATAAGAGATTTACTTTTGGAATGGTTATCCTGAAAAGTTTATTGATAAGAATATGAATTTGAAACCAAAGCAGCCCAAGTTACCAACAGTTCCAAAAAAGGCCTTACAGATTCAGTTCCTAGGAGACAACACCAGTGAGATACTAACACAGTGCCTTAGAAATGCGGTAAAAAGAGCATTCCCTGATGCTGAATTACGCTGTACCTTTAAAACCACTCCTCTTCTGCGTTCGGGAATAAAAGACAAACTGCCTAATTTCGCCTCTTCCATATATCTCTCCCATTTTAACTGCTCCTGTGTAGCCGGTTGCATAGGACGTACAATTAGGCGTGTTTCTCGTCGAATTTCCAAACATCACCCAGCGTGGTTAAGTAAAGGACAAACAAAATCTATTCGCAGCGCTATTCTGTCTCATCTTGTGGAGACAAAACACAAGATTGACGTTAATCATGCTTACAGGGTCATTTACCGGATACCTACGAATCTCAATTTTGCCTTAAGAGTTTGACTTCTAAATATTGCTGAGGCTGTGGGGATCCATATTAACAAGCCTAATTCATGCATCCAAAAGAAGTTAGTTCAGACATTATCATTACCTTGGCCATCCAGGTTTGAATAATCCGGAGCTTTCGTGGAATTCCCCTAATTTTAGTTGAAATTCTATTTGCTACTATATCTTCACTATTATTATAATTTAATTATCTTTGATGAACTGTAATTCCATCGTGATCTTACTTTACAAATCGATATTATTTAAAAAACACTAATATTGTTATTGACTACTAATCTAGAATATTCTATGTATATAAACATATATACATAACTGTAGAGCCAGAAGAGGAATTTATCGAAAAGGATATTCTTTGCTCAATTATTTTGTGTTTTATAGATGTCTGAATGAA